CTTTTTCTTTTTTTTTCTTTTCCCTCTCCTAGTTTTAGGCAAGGTTTGAAAACTCTTGGTATTCTAGAGAAAATGCAAATGCATCCAGATGCATTCTCTAGCGTATTGTGCCACAAACCCGAAAGACTTTCAGCAGAAACTATTTGTGATCTCTTTTCAATCCATTCCTCATCAGATGTAAATAAAGTTAAAGGTGCTGATTTTTGGATGGGCTATTTGCAAGATGTGGAAAGTAAGTAATTTTTTTTTTCTCTCCCTTTCCCTGTTCAGGGTATATATATATACAGGGTTTGATTTATAGAGTTCAGTGGGATAAATAAATCCAAGGGTTTGCAGTCACTGGCAGTTCCTAATTGTTGTTCTTCACCCTCTTTCTTACTAATTAGAATTTCTGAAACTGTTGTCCAATTATAATCAAACTTTAGAGGGGTCAATAAAGGAAAGATAGGAACTAGAGTTCCTGTGAATTTAAAAAGAAAACAGAACACAAGTGACACAGAAAAATCCTTTATTAGATAGTTTGTCTAAAGTCTTAAAGCCCACTATTTTCTATCTTTTTCTTACAGAAGAGTTTTTTTCTATTCACTTAAGATTTTTCAGAACTAACCCAAGTGAGTTTTGCTTGTTAAACATTTTCTTATTTAGCCATAGAACTGCATATTTATTCAGCATATTGATCTCATTTTGTGTGGGCTTTTTTTGATCTAATGCTTAGCATGTAGGATAATGGTTTATGTGTAATAGACCATCAGTGATAAATAACACCTAATCCTGTTTTTTTAGGTGGTGAGTCTGTAGTGACGTTTGAGGATATTCTGCTGTTCGTAACAGGCTCCTCTTCTATACCATCCATTGGTTTTGATCCTGAACCTACTATTAAATTTTTGCGTATAAGGTATCCCATTGGAAACAGACTCCTGAATTGCTTAGAACTCCCTATAACAAATACATACCAGCAGTTTAAAAATAAAATGGAACTCACCATCAGGAACACATTAAGAGCTGAAAGTGAATAAGTATTTTTGCAATTAAACTGGATGTTGGAAATTTCAGTTTTCTGCAAGAACATCTACTTCCAATTTGCTACTGTATTTTTGGACAATGTACTCTCAGTCTTTTCCCACTTTTCCTCCAAAGATATGGTAAAAGTAGTAATATTGTAAGATGAAAAACAATTTTCAAATCAGAATATGCTTTATTTCTTGAATAATTCTCCTTTTGAAGTTGACTTGAGTCAACAGTCTCTTGCAGAAGTATTTTAAATATCTACTTTTGCTGTAGACAAGTATAAGTACCAAACTCTGTAACAGGTAAGTCTGTGGATTGTATCACATACTTCAGTAACTTATTTATCAAAGGCAAGTCGGGCACATCTTGAAGATAATTTCTGTAGGGCTTTGTTTCAAGTAAAACTGTGATGCAGGTGTTTTGAAATCTTTTTTAAACTGCTGCAGCTTCTCTTTCTTTCTTGATCCTGGGAGAGGTGCTAATCTTTTTATATTAAGACCTATTTTCATCACTGGGTAACAAAAGCAGGTATGCCACGTTGCCCCTTAATTTTTAATTATTTTTTTTTTATTTCAAAGTCTAAGGAAATTATTACAAGCCTTAGATCAGATATTTCTTACTACTTTCAAGTAGCTAAAACATTCTAATCTCATCAAAGTCCCATCATTAGAAATTTAAGAATATAAGAAATTAACACAGGACTAACAGTGTTTTTTGGTTCTTAGTCAAAAGCATATTAAACTCTACCTTAAAATTAAGGTATGAACTCTTGGAGAATGTAATTTGACTTGTTTATATACTAAGCATTTTCTCACTGTCTATTTTTTCCTCCAATAATGTTCCATGTTTCTCATCTCTGCATAATTTTTGAGTCTCATTCTTCCAATAACTTCTTTGTAGTCTTAGCCTTCAGAATGGTCTATTGCCATTATAAGGAGAATGGCTTGGTGCAAATTTTTTTTGCATAATAAGGATTCATATTGTATGTTTGTATTTTTAAAATACAGCAATGAGTCTCCTGCAAATATTGTACTTCAAAAATGAGCAGAGTACCCAGTGCAGTATTCCTTTTTCTTGCCTAGTTAAAGATAAATGTCTTCTGTAATATTATGTGATTTTTCTGTGTGAGAAGTACAGAACTTACAGGAGTACCAAACAGAGTGTGAATAATTTTAATGGACAATTCCTGGACTTCCGGCATCTGCAGTGACAAGGGAAACTGTTCAGAACTTGGAACTAAATAAACTACATTTTAAAACCTTCAATGGAGAAAGAAATACAAAGATTAATGTGAATACAGGGCTTCAAAAACATACCTGAGATAACAAAAGTAGAGTTCACACCTTTTATTGCTTATTTCCTTTGAATTTAGCAGTTGAAAGGGTTTTATATAAAGGTAGAATTAACCTTTAGGTCAGCTGTAGGAAATGTTAACTTTAAAACCTTTTGCTGTACAATGCTATATCCAAACACTGAATTTGTAAAATTATGTAGTATCTAATATTGCTTGAAAGGGTTTCTCTAACATAGAATTGGTTCCCATTTTCTAATACTGATGTCTATGCATTCAGGACAAGTTTTCTTTCCTTTTTTGTTGGTTTGATCAGCTCTATCTAGACATTCCAGTATATTCCAGTTGTATTCCTCTCCTCTTCGCGTTTTCAGCATTTGTTTATATAGACCAATCTTGAATTTATTGAAACTGTTCATTAGAATTCCACTGAATAAGCTAACTACCGATTCATCAAAACACAGAAAGGTCTCCCTTGTCCTTCAAATGTAAGAGCAGTTTACATAGCTAAAAGGACCGTCAGGTTTTTTATTATTATAGCAGGTATCTAAAGTGCAATATTATCGAGTAGTTTTCATTTTACATAAACATAATCTGAGGCACACCTGGAAATTAGGGAATTTGCTTAGTTTCAGTATTTCTGTAACAGAGAGAATAATTGTATATACATTAGTTATGTAGTAAATATATTCTTACAGAATTTGCATCTTCTGTAAAATTTGTTGGCAGTGCTCTTTGTGTTTGGCCACAAAACTTCACCCCACAGTTTCTGCATCAAACCCTAAGCATCCATCTGGAATTAGCATATCAAATAAGCTATTTATTTTCTAGAGTGATAATTTTATACTAAACAATAGTATATTAGTGGGTTTAGTATGGTCTCCTTAACAATGCACATACAATAAAAAACACCCTCAAGTATTTTAGCTCTATGTTTGAAAAGCAAAGGAATAAGAAATTTCTGACTTGCTTTCACCCATTCAAAGGATGCTTACCAGAAAAAGCTATTAGCATTTTTAACTAACTGGCTTAAGAGTGAAATGGAGTCAAAAGGAGAACTTCATTTATACTTAGTCTAAATGATTGTGTGCTGCAATTTTGACATTTTTCATTAAGATGTTCAGCCTGTGAAGACCTGAGGGTTTTGAGAGTATTGGTCTTTAATTCAGACTCACATTTTACATATACATTTTGAAAATAGTATTAAAAAAATGTTTTAAATAGAGAGAAATGCAACTTTGGAGCCTACAAAATATTAGTTTAAAGTTTATCTTGATTCTGTATTATATGGTATAGCATTTTAAAGCTCAAACTTTACTGATTTTTACTTAAGGGAGTTCCTAGTTGGACAAAAGAAAAATTAAAATGCTTAAACTTTTGAAGTGTCAAATCATATGCATACAGAAAGTAGTTTTTGAAACATTAATGTATGTAAAAAAACCCAAACCAACAATTCAATCCTCTGATTTTTATATTGCATAAACGATGTTCTTTTTAAACTTATGGTAATTAAAAAAATGTAATTTTGTAAATATTTTTAGCTCTAACTTGAACTGCCGGATCAGTACCTGAACTGTTGCATCTTCAAGCAACATTATATGTGACAGGTGTAGCATCAATTTTGAAATAATCAGTAATTGTGGGAAATGTTATGTATATGTTCAAAGTGCAATAAAGGGTTAAATATGGAACTTTCTTCAGCGTTTTTTTTTGTTAACACTTACAGGGTTAAAACCCATTAAGTTATCGCTCTTTTCTGTAATTTCATTTGTGTACCTATATAAATATATAGCATGTTTATCCAGATATCCAAAACTGTGTTAGGGCGAATGGGGCTCTTCCCACTGTAGGATGCTGTAAGAGCATGGAGAATCCAAGGAAGGCTGCCTCTGGAGATGTGCTACCTGCGGCAGAGGCAAGCAAACTCGAAACTATCTTTTCTTGATGACTTTATTTATAGCTAGCTGGCTGGTTTTGAAACTTCAGTCCTTTCATGTACTGAAATCTGAGTGCAGCTCAGCTGCTTGCATCCGAGCTGTTTCAGTTCCCTCCGTGAAGCTTCAGTGAGAGAGCAAACACTGCTCCTGCGGCTTTTTGCTCGGGGGTGGGGAAAGGTGGAAGATGCCGTAGTCAGCCGGGCTAAAGCACAGCCCCGCTGCCGGACCGTGAGCAGCGGTTCCCGCACGGCCGCTCCCCGCGCACCTGGCGGGGCCGGAGGCGCGGCCGGGCCGGGCCCCCCCGGGCAGGGGCCGCCACGTGTCCCGGCGGCTGCGCAGGCGGCGGGCGGCGGGCGGGCGGGGCGGGACGGCGGGCGGGAAGATGGCGGCCGGTATCGGGACAAGCAGAACAGTGAGCGCCGGCCCGCCGTCCTCGCCGTGCGGCGCCTTCCCGGGGCTCGGGGCAAGGGAGGGAGCCGGGTCAGCCGCACGCTGGCCGCCGGGGGCGCCCCTGCTTCCCTGCGGGGGGGCTGTGGGCGTCGCCTCGCCTCCGCCGGGGATTCGCACCCTCTCTCCTGGCTTGGGTCTCCCGGCAAGGGGGTGGCGCCCCTCCACCGCCCTCTGCTTCGGCAGGCAGCTGGGGCCGCCGCTCCGCCCGCCTCTACTCGGGGGCCTCGGGCTGCGGCTTTCGCCGAGGAGCCCCGGCCCCGCTGTGGCCCCCGGGCCCCGGCCGTAGGTGCCGCCGGGGTGTGGAAGGCGCCCCCGGGGAGGAACTTGAGCGGGCCCGGGACGGGAACGGTGTCTTCTCCCGCGACCATGGACGCGCACCCTCCGTCTTGGTTTCCTCCTACCCGTGAGAAGGATCAACGGGAAATAGCGTTAAATAAGGCTGCTGTTGTGATGCTCGTGTTAAGACAATACTACGTACTGACTGTCAAGAAATTGAGAACACGAGATTAACAACTAATGATGCAGGTTTTCTGTGAGTAAAGTGTTTGTTATTCAGTCCCTTCTTACAGATTGCTGAGTCCTTAATTGACTCTTTAATCTCTGTAGAGCCTTGAATATACTCCTAAAGCATAGAGGATGTCGACTCCATAGTCCTGTCTACTTCCCTTGCTTGCCAAAGTTGAAAGTAGTTTGAGCTGTAATCCTGTCACTTTCTCATTGACAACTGCGGTATCTTTGGTTGTATAGACGATTCTGGATGCATTTATTTAGCATGAAATGTTTAAAATCATCTGACTAAAATAGTCAGTCTCTGTGTGTGCCTCAAGTATTGACTAGTATGCTCCATCTTTTTGTACCAGGAGTCCTTTCTGCAATCTCATTCCTATGTCCATCTGCCATTGACAGTGCTACTTGATGTTCCTTTCCAATCTTTTGCTTTTCTTCTCTTTTCTACCTGTCTAATAAAGCCCATTTCTTTGTGCTCATGTTCTGTACAGCTTTATTCTTTTCTATTGTGCTTCACCATGTTCATGGAGTGGGTTGGGTTAAGGATCATCTAGTTCCAACCTCTTCCCTCTCTCGGCAGGGACACCTACTCAAAGCCCCATCCAACCTGGCCTTGAACACTTCCAAGGGATGGGGCATCCACATCTTCTCTGAATAACCAGTTCTAGTGCCTCACCATCCTCATAAGGAAGACTTTCTACCTTATATTTAATCTAAACCTACTCTCTTTCAGTTTAAGGCCATTCCCCCTTGTCCTATCACTACAAGCCCTTGTGAAAAGTCCCTCTCCAGCATTGTTCTAACCTGCCTTAGGTACTGGAAGGCTGCTGTAAGGTCTCCCCAAAGCCTTCTCCAGGCTGAACAAACCCAGCTCCCTCTGCCTGTGTTCTTAGAAAAGGTATTCCAGTGTCCAGATCATTTTGCTGGATCTTTTCTGGACTTAATTCAACAGGTCCACATCCAGAGCTGGATGCAGTGTTCCAGGTGGGGTCTCACCAGAGCAGAAGGGCAGAATCCCTTCTCTTGCCCTGCTGGCCACGCTGCTTGTGATGCAGCCCAGGATACAGTTGGCTTTCTGGGCTGCAAGTGCACATCGCCAGCTCATCCACCAACACCCCCAGGTCCTTCTGCTCAGGGTTGCTCTAAATCCATTCTCTGCCCAGCCTGTATTTGTGCTTGGGATTGCCCCAACCTAACTGCGGGACCTTGCACTTGACCTTGTTGAACTTCATGAGGTTTGCACAGTCCCACCTCTCAGGCCTGTCAAGGTCCCTCTAAATGGCATCCCTTCACTCCAGCTTATTGAGGAGGAATTTCTTCACGGAGTGGATTGTTAAACATTGGAATGACTGCCCAGGGAGATGGTGAAGTTACCATCCCTGCAGGTGTTCAAGAAACAACTGGACGTGGCAATTGTGCCATGGTTTAGTTGACAAGGTGGCGATCAGTCAGCAGTTGGACTTGATGGTCTCAGGGGTCTTTTCCAACCTAAATAATTCTGTGATTCTGTGACCTCGTCACGCAGCTTGATGTCATTGGCAAACCTGCTGAGGGGACACTCAGTCCCCCTGTCCATTTGCTGACAACTGTTACTTGATTATTTCAGTCAGCCTTTACCACTGAACCTGTATTGTCTTCTCTTGTGTCTTTTGCAAGGAGATAGATTCAGGAACTAAAAGATACATGGAAAAAGGGAAAGATTTATTATCATTTAGTGTTTGTATTACCACGTATGTACACCATCTGTTGTGACCTTTATCCTGGTTCATAACCAGTCAAAGCATATCATTGTGCAAGCACAGTAAAAGTATGATCCTTGCCCCAGGGAACATTCAGCATAAAAGTAAATGAAATGGCAATATCAGTACAAAAAAAGAAACTCAGAGACTTGCTGAATGTTTATCTTGATTGTCACAGCACATAACTAGTCTGATTACCGTCTTCCTTCACAGAGAGCTTATGCTAAGTTTTACTTTAGATGATAAACTGCAAAGCAGCTGTTTCAGCTCCAGTAGTACCAAAATACATAACCGTAGAGCTTTAAAAAAATTGCTCATAATGGCTGAAGATGTCACCAGTGGCGAGGGACCAAAGAATCCAGGAGCATTCTGTAATCAACTTTCAGGACTGCTCCACTGGTGTTTAAAAAAGAAGAAAATAAAAAAGTATGAAGGAAGTGGAATGCTGGTTTCCAGGGAGACTCAGCACTCACTGCTGAGTTGGATTTTCCCACAGTCACGTTGCACTGCTAGTAATGTGATTTGAAAGGACAGTACCCAGGAGGAAGCAGGGACAGGCTGCGAAAGAGAAATTCGGAAACATTGCCTGGATGTGAATAGATAGTGTTAGGAAAGCCGAAGTTCAAGTGAAGTTGAACGGTGCAGCTAATGTCTAGAGAAATGAGAAGTGCTTCTGCTGCAACATTAGTAGCAAAAATGTGAATAAGAAGAAACGTTGGCTCATTGCTAAATAGACCTGGTCATTTAGTGGTGATAGGCACAGATAAGGCTGAGGAACACAATGCTGCCTTTGCCTCAGTCTTCAGCAACGATCTTCCAGCCTTTGTGTCACTTTGGAGTCAATCATGGAGTGAGTCCTATTGGAAAATACTTCTCATCACATGAAGGAAAAGGCGGGTGTGGATCTATGTATGGTAAATCATGTCTGACCAACCTAATTGCCTTCAGCAAGAAAATGACTGGACTTGTAGGCAGTGGGACAGTAGTGTGTCATTTACCTTGACGTCAGCAAGGCTTTTGATGTTGTGTTCTTGTATCCAGGTTAGGATGTTACAGACTGAATGGATGAGCAACTAGATACATAAAGCAAAAAGGCTGGATGATCAGGCTCAGAGGGTTGTGATTAATCAAACATAATGTACCTAGAGGCTGGTAACAACTGGAGCACCGCATGAGCATATTCTGTGACCTCTCCTGTTTCAAATCTCTTATTGGTCACCTGGAGGAAGTGTCAGAGCGTACTCTGATTAAGTGTGCAAGTGACAGCAAACTAGGGGAGCCTGTTCTACTTGAGGGCAGAGCTGCGACTCAGAGGCACCTATATGGGCAAGAGGAATAGACCAGCAGAGATCTTTTGGAATTTAACAATGACAAATGTAAATTCCTGCACCTAGAAAGGAAGAACCCCTTGCAACATACAGGCAACAGTGTTTTGTCAGACTAGAGAGCAGTCTGGGATTGCCAGACTGATTGGTGGAGAGCAGCTGCCTGCAAGGGGTCTCAGTGGATGGCGAGCTGAACGTGAGCCCACAGTGAGTGAGCCCCTGCATAGCAGCATCCTGGGCCATGTTCACAGGAGCACAGCCAGTAGATGGAGGGGAGTGATTATTTCCCCTGCCCAGCCCCAGGAAACAGTGTCTAGATGCTGCATCCAGTTTGTGGCTACAGTGCAGGAAAGCCATCCAACAGTTGGAGGGAGTCAGTGGGGACTACCAGGGTTATCAGGGGCTTGAGCAGTGAGACGAGGCTGTAGCAGTAGGGCTAGTTCTGCCTGAAGGAAAGGTGGCTTCAGGGGTGACCAAACAGCAGCTCCCCAATACCTATGGGCAGCACTGAGAAGGTGGAGCCAGGCTCCTTTGAACTGGTGTATGGCAATAGGGTGAGGGACAACTGGCATAAACTACATAACATAAATGAGATGTTCAAACTGGATATAAGGAAAAACTTTTTCCCCACAAGGACAGTCAGTGCCACAGGTTGCACAGTGTGGTTGTAGGATATCCGCCCCTCGAGACTTGACTGGATAAAGCCCTGAGCAGCCTGGCCTAGCCTCACAGATGACCCTGCTTGAGCAGTAGGTTGCACTGGAGGTTTCTCAAAGTCCTCTCCTGCCTGACCCGTCCTGTGATACTGTAAATCCCAGGGAACTGCACTGAGTATGCTCACAGGCTTCATTCAGCCAGAGTCAGAAGTTAACTGTTTCTACTGCTTTCTGTTTATGAGCAAAGTGATATACATTGCTCTGATTTTCCTCTTTGCAAAACCTTGTGATGATTTTGGTTATGAGTTTGAAGAGAATAGCCACTAATTTATAATGATGCAAATAGTCCTTTGCTGTTAGTCAAAGATGGGAGAGCAGCACACAGTGTGTTGTTTAATCAGGTAACTGAGGAAGAACTCATTACTTAATAGATTTATACATTAGCAGTAGGTGAAGGAATCTGCTTTGGTTTCTGTGTTGAATGGCAAGTTACATGAAAGTTCATTCCTGTTTCAAAGAGTTTTCCTGCTGCAAATTAAGGATGTTTTTGTACCCCTTAAAGCAGCAATTTCCTCTTATGACTTCTCAAAATGTTTTAAAATGTGTATTAGTTTTAGTCAGGCATAAAGGTATTTTTTGTTTGTGTGTATAGTGTTGTTCCAGTGGAGTAGGAAAAGCAGATCAGGGAATAAAGCAAACTAGTTCCTCATGTCTAGAATGCACCTTAAGGAAGGTACTGGACTTATTTTAACACAAACCATGTCATATAGCCTGTATAACTAAGAAGAGTTAATGTTTTGGAACTTGCTTATTTTCCTTTTCCAGTGTCTTCTGGACCCCATAAATTCTATCTGACATAAGCCACTTGTCAGTCAAAGCTGTATAAAAGTAATGAAAATTTGATTTGTTGCCTTTATATTTTATGATGGTTTTCCTCTCAAATGAAATGTTTAATGAAACACTGCTAATGTGTTTAATCACTGTTGTTGAAATGTAAAGAGAGTAATTTGGCTTTGTTTTCCAGTGGCTTTGAAACGTATGCTGAACTTCAATGTCCCTCCTGTTAAAAACAGCACAGGAGAACCAGTGTGGAAGGTAAGAACTATTTGAACAGGAATATGAGAATCTTTTAGTGTTCAGAAAAGTTCAGATTTGCGAATTTTTACTAACTCAAGTTCATCTTCCCTATGTTAACTTGTACAAAATATTTTTTCCTGTATTATAAATATACGGAATTGATTATCAGAACTGCTGAGAAAAATTCAGATGTTGTTTGCTTGATGACTGAAGGACTAAATGACTAACTGATTCTTTAGGCAATATTTTACTGAGTAACTGAGGAGGATATTTTTGAAATATACTTAGATCTCATTCATACCATTGGCAGAAGCTTGCATGATACCTTATAGGTAAACTCAAAGTCAGAAAGAAGCCCATACAAAGGGAAGAACTATTGTTAGCCTTGAACAAGCTGAGCTACCTTTATTACCTTTAAAATGTAACTTGTAGTTCATGAGATGTTGCTACTACAAAGCATATATTCTGTCTCTTCATCTGTTGTCTTTTTTCACTAATTCCTCTCTGCATCTCCTACTGTTTTCCCCCAAATGCAGTCAGAAAAACTCTGCACATACAATAACAAATTTCTGACAGCAGACTTGTTTGTCAAGACAGTTTGCAGAAGATAGACGTGATGGTTCTTTTTCCCCCTTTTTTTGACTGAGTTTCTTTTTGTTTTTTTTTATATTTTATTTATTCATAAGCACAAATGGAAGTCCATGACAAATTAATGATTTATTTTAAATTGGTAGATGTTTAAGCACTTTTCACGTTAGGGTAGTAGTTTCCTAAACCTGAGTTGCTGCATCCACTGTATCCTATATTCTCCAGTATCCACTTTTTACAGCACTTTTTAAGATGATGTGTATCTATTTCAGGTTCTCATTTATGACAGATTTGGCCAAGATATAATCTCACCTTTGCTGTCAGTGAAAGAGCTGAGAGATATGGGGATCACTTTGCATCTGTAAGTGTTTTTTAAAAATTTTGATTTTTTGCTGAAGAGAACTTTTTTTAATATTGCTGCAAATCATGAACAAAATAGTGAAAAATAGCTACTAAAGTTTATATCCTGACTTGTTCCTAAAATCTGATGGCATTATTCAGAATCAGGGAGTGGAGAGAGAGTTCCAAACACTGTTCAGTAGAATTTCTTGCTAAGTACAGGAGGCCCCTGTTCAAAAATTACCCAAGAGGTATTCTTTTGGAATCTGTCTTTACAAATGCCTCTGTAATCATATATGTTAAAATTATATTGACACAAGCTGTTTCATGGGACTGTGTATGTTTTCTGCTTGTCTTTTTACACATAGAATTTAATTGTCTGCTGTCAAACATATGGAATCTTTAAGTATTATTTTAAGACATTTCCCATTTCTCTTTCCCCAGATTACATTTACTTAGCTCATTGTCATTCCTTAACTGTGGTAATAATCATGAAGAAACTTTGAAGATACATTTATTTTTTCAAAATTTGATAAACTTTTGCTAAGTGAAGACTAGAAATAGAAACACAGTTTAACATGTTAACACATTAGCAGATATGTGAGAAAAACATCTAAGAACCTTACCTTTAAGCAGGAAAGGCAAGTTTAATAGAATGAGATATGCAGGGGTTTTTTATCATGTCAACAGTTTGCATGTGAACTTTGTGGATGCAGTATTTTAGCTTCCTCTGAATGGATAATCTATTTTTGAAGATTTCTAAAGCCTTTTCTCAAGCTTTGAATAAACTTCGGAGACATCTATTAATATATTCAGCCAAAAATTATACAACTGTGATTTTTTGCTTTTCTTTTCGTGTCTCATTCTTGCTAAAAATATAGCTAAATATAGGACAACATTGTAGAAAATTACATTTATCTGTACAAATAAAAAATTTCTTTAACTTTTTTAATTTTACACATATCAGAGAAGCAACACATTAAAGATGGATTTTTTGTTCCTATCAGGCTTTTGCATTCAGATCGGGACGCTATTCCAGATGTTCCAGCTGTTTACTTTGTAATGCCAACAGAAGAAAATATTGACAGAATGTGCCAGGTAACTTGCATGCTTAATGTTTCAGATGAGTGGGCACAACAGTGTGTTAAGTAATTGTGCAGTCACTGGAGTGTGACTGTTCTATATATAGTTCTTGTGTGTGTCTAAACACCTTTGCTGACATTTTCCACACGTAAGCACATATTTGTCATAAAAATATTACCCGAAATGTTTACGTGCAAAACTTCAATTTCCCAGAAAATAGAAGGGTAAATATGTCTTATGTGTTTCAGAGAGAGAGTGTAGGGAGTGAAAAGACAAGAGACAGTGGGTACAAACATTCCATTTAAACATAAGAAAAAGCTGTTTTAATGAGTGTAGACAAACACTGGAACAGATTGCCTGGAGAGTCTGTGGAGTCTCCATCCTTGGAGATGTTCTAAACCTGACTGGACACAATTCTGAGCCACCTGTACTGTTTGACGCTGCTTTGAGCAGGAGGCTTGGGTTAGACTAATCTCAGTTTTTTACGTTCTCTGGGAGGAGATGGAAGGTTGATATCTTTGCCAAAGTTAAAAAAAGAGCAAAGGGTAATTTTGGTCAGCAGTAAGGTGTGGAATAGTGATTACTGTCTTTTAGATTAAATTTCATTTCCTGTTTTTTTGCAGTTCTAAGTTAGGTTGTTTATATCTGGATATGTAATCAAAACACTGTGCAGAGCTGTATGAACAGACAGCCAAGCACTTCTGAAAATTCAGTTTGACTGTGGATAATTGTAACACCACATAGTAAAAGTATGGATTTTTTTTAATTAGTCAGAAATATATTAGTACTTTTTCAGGAAAAGGGTTGTGTTTTTCCTTTTTTTTTTTAGGATCTTCGAAACCAGCTTTATGAATCTTATTATTTAAACTTTATTTCTGCCATTTCAAGAAGTAAACTGGAAGATATTGCAAATGCTGCTATAGGTGCTAATGCAGTAACTCAAGTGGCTAAGGTAAGAAAGTCTCCCAGTCCCTAATGTTAACACCATTTCAGGTGTTATTGCATTCTTACTGTCAGGCATCCTGGGGAAAAAAGGGAATCTACAGTCATCTCATTAATGTAGCTTAGTACCATACTTCAGCTTAGTCAAAAGTCCAAGTGCTGCAAGACTTTTGTGCTAAATGATAAGAGGTTTCAGAGTATTCCTGATCTCATCAGCTAACAGAGTGCCTTCAGTGCATATATGTTGAGGTGAGGTTTTAACTCCTAAGTACACAAAAAGAACAGTATGAGTGCAGTTGTCATTTTAAATAATATTTCATACATACACACTCTTATGAGTACACTCCCATACCTTTCTGAGTTAAAGGCAGGTGTTAGGTATTTACTCTTTTGTTGGATGCCTGTACCAAAACCTGTAAATTAAGTTATTATTTTCATATATAATTAAATATATTTGCTTTTTCTCACTCCAGTTAGTACTACTGGCATGAGACAAAGAATCTGTTGTGAAATGAAATGAACTCTACTTGTGTTGTTTAGGCCTTAGATCCTCAGCAGGAGTAAGTTGGTGTAGCAGTGTAAACTAACTTCCTTAAATCTGTTTTTCCGGTGTGATATCCCATGAGTAATTTATTCCATAGAGAGATTTAATTTTTTTCCTGAATGTATGGGTATGTTACAGAAAAGTTAGAATTCATCAGCTGTAATGTTGTATTTTTCAGATAGTGCCCTCTTCCCTTTCTCCTGCCCGAGAGCTTCGTGCTGCTTATGTTGTAGTCCTTCATGTTCACAAAAAATGGTCCTATAATATTGAAATGTCCTCCATACGTGTTTTTTAGTGATATTTGGCTACTAAAAATTTGTCCACAGAAACAATTGAACTGTTCTGGCACTTTTCAGTGCTCTAATATTTTGTATTAATCACTCAATCCTTACACAGGCTTTTTAATTAATAAATTATATCTTGCATTTCTTTCTTTGAATAGGCATTTCTGTGAAATGTTCAAGATCAGGTAGCAGTAAATCACAGATAGGTTTTTTATGCTTCACTCTGGACTATTCTGACCATTATTCCTTAATTTCTAGGTGTTTGATCAATATCTTAATTTTATTACTTTAGAAGATGACATGTTTGTATTGTGTAACCAAAACAAAGAACTTGTTTCATATCGTGGTAAGTAAAATTTATATAAAAATTTTACCAGAATGTCTGAATTTGAAATTTATTTTTGAAGAAAGAGGAAAAGACAGGAAATTATGTGAGAAATTTTAAAGGTAAAATAAAGCAAACAAGGGTGGAATTTATGGCATGAATCCTGAGATAGTGCTTGACTTGAGATCTGTGATAAGATTTGGTTTGATGTTTCCTGTTGGCTATTATATTCTTGTCAGTGTTAGTTATTTAAGAGAAATGTTGCTACGTGTCTCCTCTTCTGACCTAAATGTATGAGGGAAATCTCTCTTATCTGTCATATGAAATGTTTTATAACTTGATAATAATCCCTAATCTAGAGACTGACAGTAAATTTGTTGCAAAAAAAAAAGAATCTCCATTACAAGAGGTGGAATTTAGAATTTTTAAATATAGATAACTGCATACTATAATTCTTTTTAAATTGCACAGGTAATTTTTTGAGGATTTTTTTCCTGAAAAATGTTTTCCAAGTGGATGGCCATTTCTCTTCCATAACATGTGGTTTCCTAGGAAGTATTTAGTAATGTAGTACTGATACAATCCAAAAGTTAAAGTATGCAGTCAGAGAGAGTTGGAAACAATTATGTAGTGTTCGACCTCAGACAGTAAGCAATAATTTTCTCCCAATTTTTTTCCAAAAAAAGGGAGCAGAAACTAGTATATGTGCTAAGAGGGGCATTTCATGATTTAATCTCTTCTGCAACCAAAGCTGTTGACTATTAACAGCTCTCAGGTAAGAAAAGGATTGTTTTCTCTGTATGAAAGTGGCATAACCTTGCTTAACCCTATTCTTAACTCTTTCCCTTGCTATTTTAGCCATTAACCGACCAGATATAACAGACACAGAAATGGAAACGATAATGGACACTATTGTTGATAGTCTCTTCTGTTTTTTTGTTACACTTGGTAAGTTTCCAAATTCTAGCATATTTTCCATATTCAATGAGACAACCAGAAGTTTAGTGATTTAATATAGAAAATTAAAGGCAGAATTAAATCTGTGACCAAAATCTCAATAATTCACAGGGTGGGATAATGATCTTGCTCAAATCATTGCTTTATATCACTGCAAAGTCCAGTAAAGGCTGTCCCTTCATGGAAGTTGAGTCTTAGTCTTCGGTATCAATGGGAGAAGAATATTAAAATGCAAAGATTTGGGATTACTGTTTTTACAAGATCCTAGTTTGCAATAAAGGTAGTAGTGCTTTGAGTTTGGACTTGTAGCACTCAAAAGAAACCAAACTCAAAGAAATAGAAGAAAAAAACTCACACAAACCCTGCAAAAATCTAACTGAAATACTCAAGGAATAGGAAGGTGCATTAATTTTACTTATTTTATTGTGAGTTTTCTTGATACTTAGCTCATACATTTTTCATAGTGATGATGTTTAATCTAAGTTCTAACTGAATTTGGTCAGTCTGAGATAGCTTTCCTACAAGGGGAGCTGGGGATTGCTGTGGGGCAGTGTGTTCAGTAGAGATTCTCTTGGACCTGTTCAGTTCTTTCAAGTGTTAGTGTGATACAAATTGAATGTCTTTTACTCAGTCACTTAAACTATGGTTTTGGAATTTTCATATTTGTATAGGTAAGTGAGAAACAGTAGCTAAATATTTTGAAACCTGAAAGCCAATGGAAAATGTGCTTTTGAAAATAGCATTACCCTGCAGTGATGGATATATTGTGGTGGTGGTGATATACTTCCTATTGTTTTCAGGGGACTTCTGACCTTTTGAAAATAACTTTTAATGCTTCTTTGTGAGATAGTTTGTCCCCTCCACAATACAATAGCTGTCTTTCTAGTGCGCACTATATTTCTCGTTGTCTTGTATGAGGTATTCACTTACTTTTGTAAAACTTTAGTATTTCTATATAGTATTTGTTTCATAAAGACTGCAAGAGAAGAATTTGAAGCAAGTTTGTATTCATCTCAGAATGTTAGTGAAATTTGTTTATGAAAAGTATACTGATTTATAATCTGAAAATTATAATGCACGTAGAAGTCAATATATCTTTTATTAGGCGCTATTCCTATAATCAGATGCTCAAGAGGAACTGCAGCTGAAATGGTGGCAGTGGTAAGAACTGTTTTTCTAAACACCTATCATTGATTTAAAACTTTCCTAATGCCATGTTTAGTTTTCTCAGTACTAGACAGAGATCTAGTGTTATTGTATCCTTTTCCTTATGAAGGAAGTAAAACTGGAAAGGAGATACGTCCATTTTCCTTTCTGCTTTCAATTCCATGGAACTCTTCTGTAGAAATTGGGAGCTATGGAATGAGATGATTGGAAACTTAAATATAAATAATCAATCCTAATCTAGAGTTTATCAAGATTTTCTGACATTATGATTAAGATACATCTACACAGTTTAAAAAGTGGCTGTCTGGCCTTGTGTTTTTCTGTGTGTCTTAGCAAGAAATTTTTGTCTATCTTACTGGGAAATCCCATAAGTACAAGACAAACTAAGCTGACATTGAACTTGATCATCAAATAGGGATGAAATGACCAAACTAAATCACAATGAACAGTATCTACAGCACTGTCTTCATTAGGGGTCGCTGTGCTTCATTTCTTCCGTCTTCTTCACATCTTCTTTGTCAGTGAAGCCATGATACTGATTAAACCTAAGCATTCAGTGTGCATGCATTCATATTGAGGATAATCTCTTTTTTTATGATACACTTGTGTGGCAGTATCTGACAGCCCAATTTGCTGGTTCTGCCTCTTGGTGCCTCCTGCTGGTATCTTCTGTTTGCCTGTTTAGGGAAAGGTAACTGTGCTGATTGTCTGGGAAGAGATTAGTGGACATAAAGGAAATATCTTCAGTGTGGTCCTGGATATAAATATAAATGCTGGAGGGAGAAAATAGAATTAAGATTGATTTCTTTCCCATGTGCAGTGGACCTGGTCTTCCTGCAGCTAAGACTTTTATAAACTACAAAAAGGGCACAATAAATCTTTTAGTGTTGATCAGATAAAGAGGTTAGGAAACGACTGTTTTGTTAAAAGTGGTTTTGTTTTTTCCTCTCCTCAGAAATTGGATAAGAAGCTCAGAGAGAATCTAAGAGATGCCAGAAACAGTCTTTTTACAGGCGACACACTTGGAGCTGGGCAGTTCAGGTATTGTGTTAGTAATAACTATGTATCTTTATTTTTCATATTTCAGTTGTCTGAAATATCTCATTAGGATAAGTCACCACTGTACTGAAAATTGTATTTATTAGAATTTGTTTCAATATTAAAACAATTTATATACTCTTAAAGGAGTTTTTCAGTCTTCAGTTTTCAGTTTTAGCATAACCCATTTTAAAACTTTTATAGCTAATAAGTGTACGGTCCTAGGGCAGTAAGTCAAAAATAATCTAATGAACCAGTTAATTTTGTTCCCTCTCTAAACCAAGCTTATACAAATACACTGTTTGCAGGACTATGATACGCACTTGAATGTCTGAACATATCTGTTAGCAACCTTTAGTCCATTAAAAGCAAGAAAGACCCATTTTCTTATTTGTGCACACTGTTACCAGTTGTAGTTATGTCAAAAGCAAGTGTTTCTCAGCTGATCCCTATATACACCAGAGGAGAACTGCTTCAGGATGACCACTTGGATAATTAGATGGTTAAGGTCTGTTAAGTCATGACCATTTGAATCCTTTGTGGATGCTTGCCTGCATCTGATAATGTGTTCTCAGTAGCGTCCCTCTGTACTGTTGTCCCCAGATAGTTGAATATTCCACAGGCTGCCTTAGGAAAGTGTATTATGGGAGTTTATACTGTGCATGAAAAGGTGAGACATGTATTGGCAAGACTGTAGCTGAAGGAAACTGTTATAACCTAACTGGATATAAAACAGTCTTTTATATCAAATTAAGAGCAGAATTTGGATAAAAGGCACAAAAAAATCAAGGGCGGCAAAACGGAATGAAAGGAGGGAGAATAGTTGTGAAATACCATTTCCCTCATTTTCATGGGAACTGAATTGTAACCACTGCTTTTCCTTCAGTGGCTGTTTTCCTGATACTATAGCATCATTACCCACAAAATTAAAATGCAAGGAAAGGGAAACACTGGAAACTTCAACCAATTAAATGGCTTCAGGTCTTTAGTTTGGTTTTCAGAATCATTAAGGTGACTAAGGTTCTTGAGATTATGTATTAAAGTGAAAATACTTACTGCAAGGAATTTACATGCTTTTACTATGTGCAAATATACTTCAGTTGGCATGTTTACTGTAGGGATAATGTGCTTGAGGGAAATGGTGGTAATAATTTTCTGTCAGTTCACAGTCTTCCTGTCTTTGCTATAGATTTTTCATGTAGCCATAACCCAAGACCTTTAGGCATGAATGCATTCTTTTATCACAAAATTGAGTATTGATAGAATTACTACAGTGCATCTCAGAAGTTCATAATTTTTTTTTTCACAGACTTTATGTCCAAGCAAAGAGAAAAATGAAATTAAAAGTTCTTGGAAGAGAGATTTTATATTTGAGGTTCATAATGGGGATTAAGGTCGAATATTACCCACTCAGACAATTGTTTGGAACTCAAATGTGTATCCACACAAAAGATGTATCAGTTAATACCTAAAAGGCTAGTTGCTGTTCAGTGTTTTGACTTCTGTTCAATATTTATATGTTGGTTCACTTAGTACAAAATAAAATAATCTTTTTATCATTACTAAGATTTGATTCCTGGAATTTCTGGCAGTGATCAGCCCCAGTGACTTTGGGGAAGGCTAGAGGAGCTCAGCAGTAGGCAATTCTGCTTTTAATTTGAAATATAATGTAGAAGGTGGCTGATATCACTCAGGATGTTACAGGGGTGTTTTAATCATGTTTAAAGAAGTACTAACACAGTGTCATCTTTTCAGCTTCCAAAGGCCCCTATTAGTCCTTGTTGACAGAAACATAGATTTAGCAACTCCTCTACATCATACTTGGACATACCAAGCTTTAGTGCATGATGTTCTGGTAAGGATAAATCTGATTTTTTTACCAAAACTATTTTTTCACTCAGTTTGTTCTTAATACCACATTCTCTCTTGATCCAAATCTGTTTTGTCTGTTTTATTTGGAAGTTATTTTAGTAAAAAACACTTGGAAGATTTTCTCTAAAAGGTTTACTTAGGAATAATTTCTAAAATACTTAAAAAGTTGAAATCTTGATGTCTTCAAAAGATAGATAACTCAGCAATCCTGGCCTTTTAATGTATTTTTTAACCAATTTTGGTTTTAGTTTGAATTTCTAAAAACATATTTTCCTGTATTTCTCCACAAGGTGGTGTAAGTGTTCAATACAGAGATGCTAAGGGGTATATAACCCCACTGGAGGAATCTCAAACAGATTTTTAAAATAATTTTTTTGAAATTCGTATAGCCTTAAACTGCCTTTATTTCCTCAAGTTTATTTTGTAATACCAGTAGTAGAAATGTACTTGAATGAAAACTAATACTGCTTACCTAAGATTTATGCATTTTGTGTGTAGGTATGGAGTAAATAAAAAATAATAAGAATAATTAGTATCTGGAGGCTTTTTTATACTGAGAGTTTCTCATGAAAATAATTTCAATATCTGCTTTGAGAAGTATTTGGAGTTTATTTTTGAGACTGTTAGAGGAATACATGAAATATGCACGTGCACATATGTGTTTTTATACAGGGTTGATTGTGAACTTGAAAGGTGTTTGGTTCCCTGATCATCCCACAGAACTGTATGGTCATACACAGAGTGCTGTCCAGAAACTTACATTGCTACAATGAAGACATTTCAGCACTAGTGGGATGTTTTAGGACATTTGTAAATTCTATTTTATGTGATTAATTCCTTCTGACAAGTGCCTTTCTCTTAACTTAAAGAGTGCTTTTTACGGATAGAGAATTTTTGGCCTAGTTTCTTTAGGGAAGGCATATGTGAAAAGAACAGTTTGCACTGAGTTTTCTCCAATAACTGGCTAGAGACTTGTCAGTAGAAGTGCTGAATTTCTGCAGATTTCTTTTAAAAATAGTAAAGAGTAGGGTATGGAAACCCAAATTACAATTTTTACAGGTGTAAATGCTATTGCACAAGGTCTGTGCTAATTTCAGTTTGTCACCTGCTAATCATTTAATCAGCAAATGCTCACTTGCTCAGTAGTAAAACCATGTGAAGCTCCATCTATTTGACTCCAGCTCATCTGCCGTGTGGAGAAGGTAGTGTTGGGTGGCCTCAAGCATGTGTTGGGATAGGACTTCAGTGCATCAAGGTGCAGAGTGATCATATACTGGAAACTGAGGACAACTAGTACTACAAATATGCTGGGGTATCAGACTAACACTAGAAGAATGATTCGAGGATTGTTGGATATTTGTCTGTACTGCATCAGGCTTCAGTAGTTTCTCTGGAACAACTTGTTAGATGTAGCATCTTATTTTTAACTGAGTGGATAGGATTATGAATTTGTTTAGTGAAATTCTAACCAAGTTGTCTATGATTCCATGGCAAGGGCAAAAGTTTAATTTAAAAACCAGTCAAGTTATTCACCTTAAAGGCAAGCTTGCCAGGCTCTTCATGCACCGAGCATAATATTTCATGAAAAAACTGCAGTAGCATTTTAAGAGGCCATGAATTGTAACCGTGAAAGTGTTACTAAGATGTTGGTTATGTGAGCTGTACTTTGAAACAAATTGTTTTTCACATAAGGTCTCAGTTACAATAGACCAGGAATTCTGTACAGTGTTGAACTGTATGCTAACCCAGGCACAAAGTTGAGTGTTGCATCTGTTTAGTTTATAACCGTGGTGTTTCTACACATAAACAGGCTTATGAGAAGAGATTCCTATTTCTAAATAAAAAAACCTTTCGGGAATGGGTACAGAAAAATGAGAGGTATGGATAGAAAGCCTTATAAGGACAAAATGGGGAGTTAAGAGGAGGAACACTAATCAATAAGAATTATTTTCGGAAATTCTTGTAAATGCAAAAACTAACTTGAAAACTCAGGTCACTGGTGAGTTAAATTGAGCCAAAACATAGATCTTCATTAAAAACTACAGCTAAATTTGCAATCAAATAAATTTTTTCCCTTCAAGTTTTTATTGAATATGTGTACTTGAAAAATACTTTTCTATTCCTAAAACATTAAACACATCTTGTAAGATGAGGTTTGTGCTCATTGACTGTATGAGTTTTCTTTGAGTAGCTGCTTCTACTAGTTTTACTTCTAGATAGTTTTGTTTCTATTCTGGCATGGATCATTTGTAGTATTTAATTTTAAGTCCTTGCCAAGGGACAACTAGGAAAATTTTAAAATTTGATTTGACAGTTTCACTTACAGTGATCTGTTTCTGTATACTTTAATGAACATAATAAAGTGGGGTTTTATTTCTGAAAAAAATACCTGTTCTAAAAGGTTCATGACTGATTCTGTATAGCTGAAGATTTGATTCTCTTTATCATTGTTTGCCAAGCAAACGACACCTTTGAAATTTCTATGTTCATGCATCTGTGGAAGAAGAAAAACTGTATGGAGAAACAGCAGCTTTTTTGCAAGCTTTTGCTTTAGGATGCATTCACTATTTCACTAGTGTTTAAAAAAATTAGGGAAAGAGCTGTGAACGTGTAGCTAAGTAGTCTAAATAATTGCTGTTGCTGTTGTCCTGAGCTTCTTGGCAGCTTTGATACATTAGTTATCCTTGTGTAAGTGAACTTCAGCCTTAGAAACACTTTTTGTCTGCAACACGGGCACCTTTATGCTTTAGTTTTGGATGGTTATTAGAGCACAGTTTTTGCTAAATAACATGTTTTCTGTGCAGAAAGCTGAAGTTCAGTGTCAGGAGATTGCTCACATATGAGACAATCAAATGTCTTTGCTTAATATTTATTGCTTGTTGGGTGTATTTTTAAGTAACTGTGAATACTTTTGGAGTTCTTATATGGCTGTTGTTATTATCTAGTTAGCTAGTAAACTGTTTTCTGCCCTCTTATGAAGTTCTAATAAATAGCTGTGTTAATATTTTTTTAGAAAATATTCTAGAAGATATTGGTTGAGTATGAAAGACTGAATAAATAATTAAAAACTGTCAAATATTTATATAAGATTCCTCTTTATTTTAGGATTTTCATTTGAATAGAGTTAACTTGGAAGAATCGATAGGAATGGAAAGTTCTCCAGCAGGTGCTAGACCTAAGAAAAAAAATAAGAAGTCCTATGATTTAACTGCATCTGATAAATTCTGGCAAAAGCATAAAGGCAGGTAAGCTGTGTAGGTATGCAGTTTATAATAATTTAGTCAAAACAAATTCTAAATATTCTTCATATTATGATAGTTCTATTTTTAAGCTTATTTGAAAATATTTTATAAGTTTGGAGGGGTTTTTTAAGGTGTATTGGGTCTGGCTGAGATGGAGTTCATTTTCTGCACAGCAGCCCTTACAGTGCTGTGCTTTGCATTGGTAGCTAGAAAGGTGTTGGTAACACACCAGTGTTATGGCTACTGCTGAGCAGTGCTGGCACAGCATCAAGGCTGTCTCTCCAACATCACCCCTCACCAGTAGTCTGGGGATAGGCAAGATTTTGGGAGGGAACATAGTCAGGAAAGCCGACCCAAACTGACCAAAGAGATATTCTGTAACATATGATGTCTGTTCAGCAATAAAAGCGAAGAGAAAGGAGGAGGAAGGGCAGGGCATTCGATTTTTTTTTTTACGTTTGTCTTCTGGAGCAACCACTCTGCCTACTGAAGCCTTTCTTCCTGGGAAGTGGCCAGACATCGCTGCCAGTAGAAAGTAGAGAACCAAATCTTCTGTTTTCCTTTGCTTTCACAGATAGTCTTTGATTTTTTTCAGCTGCCTATATCTCAACCCATGAGTTTGGGGTTTTTTCCATCTTATTTTCTGCCCACCCAGTCCTACTGAGAGGAGTGGCTTGACCCAACCTGCTCAAACCAGGGTCAACCAACCACATCATTGTCAATATTTGTTGCCCATGTTAATTGTTTATGAGCTTTTTGTTACAAAGCTCAAAAATGTTCATACCAAAATTACATAAAATTATCGAAAACAGTGAATTTATCTTAGAAAGTTAAAGTAAACCTACAGTGAGATGTCATTTTCACTGATTTGATACTGGTGCATGATTTCTGTATTGTTATTTCCAAAAAGGTTTGGTCTGGTTCTAGTGTTTCAATTCGTTATTTAACTGAGCCTAATGCAGAGTATTGCATTAGTCCTTTTCCAGAGGTAGCCGAGTCTGTTCAGCAAGAACTGGAATCTTACAGAGCCCAAGAAGATGAAGTCAAAAGACTCAAAAGTATCATGGTAAGTTTATCACCTGTATGTGCTCTATGTAAAGCATTATAGGACTTTTATAGATGCTTAGCACACCCTGTCATCCCACACACAAAAATTGCCAGTGCATGCTGAATTTTAGGCATAATACAATCCTAAAAGTAGGACTAGAAGTACCGTATTTCATGAGAAGGCTCAATTTCTTGTGTTTAATGGCGTTGCAGTTATATAATTTCGTACTTACTGAAAAACGCTATCCAGACATTAATCCCGTTGTGCGAAAATAGATTCTAAATGTGTTGACTCTGTATGCATGATATTTGTACTTATTATGACTGGTTTATTCCTCTTTCCAAACCCTTCCTCAAAACCCAGGGTATAGAAGGGGAGGATGAAGGAGCAATAAGTATGCTTTCAGATAATACAGCTAAGCTAACTTCAGCTGTCAGGTAAGTGATCAATAATGCATTATTGTTTAATTAACTGGGAACTATTTCTGATTTCTTCTGTTCAGCTCAACAGTGTAGTTTAAATGTTTTATAACTCTGATAAAGTTAAATGCAGGATAAGTGTTTGCACATGTAACTTCCACAATATGTATGAGCCATCTACACATGGCTCTGCATTCTTTCATTAAGAAAATTGTTAGTGAAATCCACTTCTTGAAGTATCTTCTTGCTTTGCGCAGTGTGTAATTAGTTACATTTTGATTCATGTAGTTACTATAACATCTGTTTACAAGATTATAGTTATTAACAACTCTGCATGAGAAATTTACTCTCCTGCTTAAGTCTGAGATTTAGACTTGTTTCTCATTGTAAATTTGTTTTTCATTCCACTGATGCCTTGGAGAAGGGAGATGTTTAGTTTGCTGCCTTTCACTAAGACCCAGTCAGAAGGAAGAAGAAACAGTAATTATTGTGAGGATAGATGGGGTGATGTGCCCAGTGTACTGTGAAATCCAGTGTGCCTGCATTAGTTAGTTGTCTCTTAGTGAGTTTCGAAAGTTGTTTTGTATGCTATGCCTAACTAGGATTTGATTGGAATGACAAAGGATGTGTGATGGATCAGACAGTTTCCAAAAAGCAAGCAGATATTTCCATGCTTCCTATAAACTGAGTAAGACACTGAGTATCCAGAGTGCTTTTGGATTTGAAAATGTGTAGATCCCAAGCAGTCTTTTATAAATGTGATTGCCAAGTGCCAGCAGTGGAAATCATGTAGATCATAACACCTTAAGTAACAATTTTTCTACAAAGTAAATTTAACCATTCTGTTTCCCATTTCGCAAAAGAAAATATTTCAATCACAAATCCTGCATAGAGAATTATGTTCTATGCAGAAGCACCTGTGACAAATTTCAGGATATCTAGAGGTTCTGTATTTATTTGACAGATGTTATTATTTAATATAATTTTATAATTATTTGACAAAGTTTGATTTTTTTACAGGTATTATTATTTGGCGGATACTGACACTTCTATATGTACCAGAAATGAGCTAAATGTAGTAGCTTATTTGTTTAGGTTAGCAGGGCGTGTATCTGTTGTTGGTCACAAGCTTTCAGTGGAAATATTGAATTACCCTTTATGTATATTTTTTGCTAGTCAAGGTCAAAAACCTAGTTGACTACATTACGTGTGACTTATGTCTTTATGTTATTCTGTTATGGTTATGAGAATCATTACCTCTGTACTTTGTGATTTCTTAGCTCCAATCCTGTTCTATAATTTTAGATTTTAATAGTCTTTAGAGATTCCTTCCAACCCAGAAAGTTCTATGATTCTATAATTCTTTTTGTACCTACTGTATACAATACACAATTCAACTAATAGTGCAAATGAGCAGGTTAGTTTGTATTTAATCTCTTCAGCTCTCTTCCAGAACTTCTGGAAAAGAAGAGGCTCATTGATCTTCATACAAATGTTGCAACAGCTGTTTTGGAGCACATAAAGGTATGGTTGCTCTCCAACTTCAGTTTTCTATTAGTACTGCTCCTTAACTGGAGGAATATATTTGAGCTGGTGAAGATAAGAAAGTGAGTCTTCTCAATTGTGCTACCTTTTCAGAAATTCCTGTGTAACATCAGAGTTGAAGGGTGACAGAGAATGAATTTTGAATTCCTCTGCATGGAAAATGAAGACATACCAATTCTTATCAGAATTTACTAATATCCTCTCAGTCTTTTTTTAATGGTGACCACAACTGCTGTTGTGGGTTGAAATCTTTCTAAAATAAGTTTCTGATGGAAATGTTTTGTTTATTTTAGAGATGTGTCATGGCAAGTCATTACTTCAGTCTAAGCAATTTTCTGCTCTGTATCTGTTTATCAGAAGGGCACTGTTGACTCCTCACCAACAAAAATAATATCTAGAGGTGTGGCAATTATGACACAAGTTACTGAAGTGGTCTTTCCAGCAGAGTCTGTGTTAGATGTCTTGTGCATAATTTAAGCACTTCAGAAGGATGCTTGTTCTCTTTTCTGTTTAACTATGCTGCTCTTGTGTCAGAGACCTCACAGAGTGTTTAGTATCAAGTGAAGAACATGGTTACTGCCAGGATAACTTGGAAAATGGATCTGTTTTCACAGTATGAGAACAGAAATTATAGATGAGGCTTTCAGAAACACTGAAATTCTGTTTTTGGAAAGTAGTTCAAGTACCGAGTTTCACTAAAAATCAATAATTAGAAAATTTTACCCCAAGCTGTTTATAATTCATGGAAGGCAATGTGTTTTTAAGCTAGCTTTAACATTTGTAAAGGGCATAAGATCTGTCCTCAGTTGTTACTGCGACTGAATTTTTTAAGTACAATATATGAACAAAGGATTCATTCTGAAACTTAAAGAATAAATTAATTTTACGTATTTTTAAAGTTGGGGAAGAGATATTAGTGTGTCTCCCTGTTTAGCTTATTATTAGGGGGCCAGTTTATGTGCTTTTGCAGTATTAGGCTTGTAAATTTTCATATCTGACAATTTTAAACCAGTACATAATACCCTTGACAAAGTAGAAGTCAATAATGTCAGTATTTTGATGCCTTGATGTAAATTCACTTTTCTAAGAAGATACTGCAGGCCTACACCAGTATTGTTTTATGTGTTATTTGTTGGAAGGAAACCATGTTTCAGAGCAAGATGTAGGATGGCAGTAACATCAGTTTTGATCACCAGTGTCCTATTGGCAATGGACTGAAGTCAGATGCACTTGTTCATTCTCCATTAGGTGATAGCTACATACTTTTGGTTAACTAGAGGTGGAGGGAATCCTCCTACAGATTACTACAGCACTCAACTAGCCCTTTGGCTCACTGCTCTGACAGGGAGCCTGCTATTAGAGAGTTCTGTAGGATTGGTCATCCATTTCTCCATGATTCTTAATTGTGGAACTGCAAGTGCTCAGGCTTCTTACCTTGTTTTTGTATAGCTGTAGAAGAAGATCATGAGACAAATGGCCATGCAGTTTCTTCAATACATTGATGATATGTGCATCTCTATCATCTTTTCTTTTGATTTAGAAAGCATCAGTTCATCTCCAGATATTTAAGAAACTGTCTTAAACTAATGCAGAAACACGTGTTTTTTCTGTTGCAATTTGCCTACACTAAAGCCTTTTCACTGAATGAATGTCAAGTGTATTCCAGCTGCTTTCTCCTGACCATTTTCTCCTCTTTTTTAACCCTTTGGTGTTAGAAAAAGTAACTTTCTGTCTTGAGATGTGAAATTTTAATATGCAGGATGATACGCTAGCTAATGGATTCCTCTAGAATACTGTAAAAAAAAGGGCATTGTCTCAGCCAGTACTTTTAAAAGAAATTCTCATGGCACCTTGAGGCTATGGTTAATAGGTTTTATGTACAGTTAAATAATTAAACCAGATTAGGATAAGAGAGAATTTTTTTTGCAAGTGCTGAAGTCATGAGGAACTAGTGAGGCACCATACTCTTCTTCAGGTTACTATAGTTTCTCTTTTAAAATAATCTGGGAGTGCATTCATACCTTAAAATAGACTATATGCATTGTCAGTTGTGGTTTTTTGCTATATTAATGATTTGAGCATTTTTCTTCACTACATATATGAGGATGAATGCAAAGAGTACGTGCTTTAGATACACTGAGTGAATTTAATTTTTCTTGTGGTCATATTTTAATGTTTAGTTTACAGCTGCTTTCTACATTCTGTTGGATTGTTTTCTAAGACACAACAAGAGGAAACCAGAAATTAATGACATACTTAGGGGTCCTGGCAGTTTTCTGGCTTAAGTCTTTAGTGAAATAATGGAAAGTATGCATCACTTTTTCACTAAGTGAACCATCAAATATTTGTTGTCAGTGCTTAGAATAAATGCATCCTTGTTTTGCACTGATGGATTTTTTTCTCTGCTGAAGCTGGTGACTGAAGGACTGGACCCAACAGAAAACAGATTTAGGGCTAGAATTATGAATACCTAGCTGCTTTAGAGTTTCAAGTAATGCTTATCTTTGCATGTCATTGTAATTTGAATACTAGGATTACTGATGTATGTTTAATCATGACATATAAAAAGGTGTACATGTACATTTTTCTAAAATGATTAGTTGGAGAGGGGGTAGATTAGGTAACCTCTTGCTAGAATTATACATGTGAATTTATGTGACAGATTTTATGTGAATTATCTGTCATAAATTACATTTGTTTGGTTTAGTTTTTTTTTAATTCCTGCATAATTTTTTTCATGTATCTCTGCTTTTGCTTGATCTCAAGGCCTGATATTTGAGTGACTCCATTATTGGGATTGGCAGTAGCCTTTCAAATTTTCAAATTCTTATTTTATAAAGGAATTCCACTATTTTAACTACTCTATTTTAAATAAGGTTGCATTTTTGTCTTATACCATGTGTAGTGGGTTGACCTTGGCTGGATGCCATGTGCCCACCAAGCTGCTCTATCACTTCCCTTCCCAGCTGGACATGATGGGAAACCTGTGGGTTGAGATAAGGCAGCTTAATAAAGTAAAAGTGAAAGTTTGCATGCACACAAGCTAAGAGGAAAGTAACAAGGTTTATTCTCTACTTCCTATCAGCAGCAATGCCTGGCCACTTCCCCAGAAGCAGTGCTTCAGCACACTTAGCAGTTGCTCCGCAGGCAAACATTGTAAATGATGAATGGCCTCTTTCACCCTCCTTTCCTTTGCCTTTATATCTGAGCTGACATCATATGGTATGGAATATCCCTTTGGTTAGTTTGGATCAGCTGGCCTACTTGTGTCCCCTCCCAGGATATTGTCATCAATGGGGGGAGGAAGGACTATTGAGAGTGCTGATGCTTTTGCCAGCACTGCTCTGCAGTAGCCAAAACACTGATGTGTTATCAATTGTTATCAACACCCTTCTAGCTACCAATGCGAAGCACAGCCCTATGACAGCTGCTATGGGGAAATGAACACCATCTCAGCCAGACCCAGTACGTTCTCACTCCCATGGTCATCTGTGGGCTGCATTCATTCTCTAATGTTGTTCAGTAAAGTGAACGTTGTTCATTGTTCAGTAAGAGAAACAATACGTGTTTGTGAAATATATATGTTGCAGTAGTCCATGCTGGTTTTCTGTCATTCAATAACCTTCCAGCAAAAACAACTTTTTCTGAGTTCAGTTATGGTGACCTTTCCATCATCATTCTCTGCAGTTCAGTTGAAAGGGAATTGGCTATGACTGCCACTTCCAGCCTTCTTCCAGAGTTTCCCTTCCTCTTGATAGGAACACACTATAATTACCTGACCAGCCTCACTCGTTCTGGGGGCAGTTATTTCTGGTTGTTTTCAGTCAGCATCTTTGAGAAATTCCTCAAGTAGTTTCTTAATTTCTTCTCTCTTCTTCTGCATGGTCTCTGTCTTTGTCCCTAAAGTTAAGAACTTTTGTACTGTAAAAAGGATAGGAGAGCTTCCAACAAGTCCTTACAAAAATGACACTCTAAGATATTTCATTGAGTCCTGCTTCCACTTCTTTGCTTAAAAAAGAAGGAATTTTATGTTCATTTTGGAGTACAGCACTCAAGTAGACTTTCCCATGTACTTCAGTAATTTTCCCTAAAATATGTTTTGGCTTACAAACAGCCTGTTTCTAAAGATGATAAGTTGAAAACTTTCACAAATATATTTTAAAAAAAGCAAGGTAAAGTGTGGCACTTTAACTGCAATACAGATCCTGTCCCTGAAATGGTGGCCAGAAAGGTCTCTTGAATGAGATTGGTATGGAAAAGATGTCGTAGTAAGAAATCAAGAGCAGGAGGCAGAAAAGGAATAACTGTAAATGTAAATGGATCCTTATTTTATTATTTTTTATTTTTATTTATTTTCTTCACCTTGTTTGCCAGTTTGGCACCCATAAAAACCTCTCCTTTGCTGTGTTTTTTTATTGAATCTACAGGGTTGTTTAGCTCCTAATCCCCAGCTTTTCCTCTTGGCATGTCTGTGAGTTTGCCATTGAGTGAGCAAAATTGCATTTACTTAAATTAAATGAGACATCTGCATCTTACCAGTACTTCCTAGACAAGTTGGCTCTTCAAGAAGTAACTGTCTGGTTGGTGTGGCATGTCTGGGATATCTATCAAAAGGTAACTAGTAGTGTTCAAGGCTATTCAGTAATCCATATAAAATTTGATTAGGTGTCCATCTAATTCCTAAAAACCAGTATAAAAAAATACTGCCCTAATTAGCACCTTTGCTAGTAACTTTCATTAGTTATCTAGTGAAGAAGCAGCTGATTAGACATATCGTAATGATCCGTCTCTTGTTCATTGCATCAAAAAGAGTCTCAAAAATTGTATAATGCTGCTTATCTCTGATGTCCCTATTGTGGATAGAAAAAAAGAATAGGAAGTGGATAGAAAAAAAATGTGGACGTTTTAGGATTTTCAGTTTGTTTGGGTTTTTTTTCTCCAAAAAGTGCTAAATTCACGTTTCTTTGCTGCTGTTAATCTGGTTTTTTCAGTAGTCTTAGTCAAACAGTCATAAAGTTGCACGTGACTGAGAAGAATTTTACCTAGCTTGTGCTCCAAGTAAGTTAACAATTGTGAATCTGTTCTTACAATTCAAAGTAATTCATGTTTGAATTACATAATTTTCTTTAAAAGTTGATCTGTAAACAAATACAGAGAAGTAGTGAATCTTTTTATGTTGGACATTTTTACATGCCATCTAAATAAATTTGTCTTAAACAGATCACCAGCTAAGATAATATGGGCATGACCAAATTCAACATTAATATATTTATCTTAATAAGATTAAGTTTCCACATTTCAAGACAATCTCTTGTTTATTGGATACCTTTTGTCTGGGAAAAATAATTTAAACTTAAAACCATTAAATTTGGCTTCACGTAAGGAGATACAAATGTAGTTAAAACACAAAAAGTAACTAAATGTAATGGAAAGACTAGAAAAATTGTAGTTTCTTTGCAATTGTTTTATGTCTCTAGAGAGATTATGGGAAACTATAATGCAGATAGTCTCCAAGATACTGTAGAATTGAAGTCTCAGAACATGTCTGATGTGCCAGATAACAAATTGCATCTGAATTTAGGACTTGGAAAAAGGCTGGTAGTTCAGTTCTATTCAGACTTTAAACTAGTGTAACATAACCACTGATAATCACATTAACTTTGGCTAACTACTCTTCTAACATAAGCTCAAGAAGAAGCTCTGTCTCTTTTTTTTCACTTCATGCACCTTCTATGTAGTTACAGTCACTATGACAATCAAAAGAAGACATTCTTCTGCCCCTAAAAGTAGCAAAGGGTCATTTTTTGAGCACTCTTCAAGGTAATTTACTTTATAAGCTGTAATTACAAGCTTCCACAAAAGGTTTAAATTAAGATGCTGTTTTGCAAGTAATTGCTTGTCAAGGAGTTCAGTAAATAGTGACTGAGAAATGGAAGTGTTGTATCACCTGCATCATAAGCTGATTGCCAAATGCTTTCAATGTAAAAATATTCTTTTATTTATCCACTCCAGGTCTTTACAATATCTTAATATCCTTAGGTTAGAGAAGTACCTTTTTTTTGAACGGTGGGGAAATAAGTTTTTGAAATTCCATTTTCTTATTTGTGATCTCAGGAATAATTCTAAATAAATTCAGAAACATGTGAAAACCAGACTTCTAAAGTTTTTATGTTGCTGTTGTTACAACAACTGCTGCAGTGGGTAGAAGGTCCCATAGCAGTTTTGCATGCTTTGGCATTATCAGGCAAAATTCCCTGAATCACTTAACCCAAGAAACGCACGGGTGACTCTTGCCTCACTCTGGCAGTATCATTTCAGTCTCCCAATGGGTATGCTGTGGAGCTGAAACACTTCCAAAGCATTAAGATGGAGATCTATTCTGACAGTTTCCTTTTCAAGCCAGTACATAGCTGAATATGTCCAAACACCAGGATTTAGTTAGTTACCAGATATTAAGGTTTTGTAAGCTGAGTACTTGTAACGTTTGTTTTGATGCTACATGTTAATGTTCAGACACACATAATGATTTGCACTGTAATGGAACTTTTTAAAATAAGTTTTGGATTGCATTTTTCTACTTTTAGATTGTAAATCCATGATCAAGAAGTGCCAAGCTTGTTTGTGCAGATGTGCTGCAATGCAGTCAGTAGTTGCATGGCCATGTGATATATTCCAGAAAGCTTTTGCCTCCATAATTTTGTGTAGTCCCTGTGTCATCCTCCCTAAAAGAGAATTTTCTCAACATCTGTATGTCATTGTATAACGACAGACTTGTTTTCCAGTGTTAGGAAGATAATCTAATAATAAACCTATCTATCTTCGTTGTGAATGAACTATTCTAAGTCTTTGATCTGAGGTAGTATTTCATTACCAACCCAAGTTGGCAATTGCCAACTTTTCTCTGGGATGATACCTTAATGTATAAAGGAATTTCCCCCACTTACCTGCATTGAATAATTGTCTCCTTGACTGAGAGACTGGAGGTTCAACATAAATCTGACATAATAGTCACTGACCATTATTTTTTCATTCACGTTGGACATCCCTTTCTTAACTTGCATTTTCACTTTTAGTATGATAATTACATATACATCAACATCCTGAGAGTTAATAGAAGCATATTATAATGCAAGGATTAGTTATTTTTACTGATACTTTATTTAAAAATAAAATTTTAAAAAGAGTCTTGCTACATACCCTTTTAAAGAGGAAATAAATATTCTTTGTGTTGAGATGTTAACCCTAACACTTACTCCTAAACAGAGTCGAAAGCTGGATGTGTATTTTGAATATGAGGAAAAAATAATGAGCAAATCTACTCTGGATAAATCTCTTCTGGACATGATTTCTGACCCAGATGGTGAGTACTTCAAATCTGAACTTTGTATACACAATAAATCTGTACCTGCTTGGACTTCAAGGTTGGTAGAGAGCTTATGTGCAACCTGTGCAAGACTTGTAAAGAAAACAGCTTCTGATTGATCTTCAGCAGCAGTCTAGAGAGTTTAGGATTTCAGTTGAGTAATATCCAAAATATTAGCAACATTTGCAATTCCGGTAAAATTCTTTCCCAACTCATTGTTTCTGAAAGTCAAGATATTTTAATTTTTGTGTTTTTCCAGTATTTGTTAGTACAACATGGAATTCTGTTGTCTGAAGAGTACTGATCCTTTAAAATCCTACTGCATGTTTTGTAATGTATATATACCTCACAAACAGAATGAAAAATGGCATTTCATAGAATTTGGTTAGATCAAGGGGCTGCAATGAAGGTAGCTCTTGCTTGTGTGAGGAAAAAGATAAAAGGGAGAAGGTGGAGAGAAGGGGAGCTAGATGTAAATTGGCCAGTTCACTGAGACTCAGCTGAAGCTTTGCATGCATTGACCCAGCTATGGCCTGTCTGTTTTCATTGTCTAAGAGCAATGCATCCCAGCTTCTCTTTCAGATGTGGTTCATACATAACAGAGCATTGTACACTGAGGTTACTCAGATTCTCGATTAGCAGGAGTCATTAAGGGTCTTTCTGTGAAAGGTTGAGATCCAAATGAGTTCTCAGCTTTTTGTAGTATCATAGCATCAACTCGCATTCAATCTCTCACAACCTGAGGTATGTCATAACCCTGTGATGGATTTCAGTATGATCGGATACCAGTTAGGTGGAACAAATAACCTGCAGAGCAAGATCGTAAAACTTAAATTGTAATCACTGACCTGTCTGCATATTGGCAAAGTATATTGGCAAATCCCACGTACTTAGAGACCCAAGGTTCCTGCTCTTTTCCCAGTATACTCTTTAGAAAATGTTTTGTTACTGCATGCTTATGTGTGTAGTCTTTTAGCTACCTACTGGACTTAATGTTGGCTTGGAGTTTGTATAATGATGCATATTTATATAAAGAGTATATATACATCCTGCTGACTTTTTACAAAAGTCTTTTAGTAGTGTCTGTGCTATATAATCAAAGGCAGTAGAAGATTGGTAGAAGTCTTGAGCTAAAAATTTACAGATCTCAGATCAAGTCTAGAAACTAAAAAATTTTCAGAAAATTTAATGTCAAACATCAATCTGTAATTCAGTACATACATTAATTTTTAATATGAAGTTAATAAGAAAATGTATAATCTGTACTTTTATTAAGCAACAATACAAACTAGTCCTTTTCAATGTTAAGAATTAACTTTTCATGTACTATTTTGACTCAGCTTTTACGTTTGCATAAACTTAGATATGAAAACAGAAATTTTTATGCTTGTTTGTATGTCCTACTGGATCAGTTACTTTTTACCTGAATCCACATTTTCTATGCCTTTTTAGATTGCAGTATAAAGCAAATTGTTTTCCAAGACTGATGTATCATCTCAACATTCCCATTAGCAAGATTCCTGGGTTTTATGCAAGAGAAAGATTAGATTTACAAGCTCGAGTTTTAGTTCGTAAGCTAAGTATTCAGGTTTTCATGGTAGTATGTTAGCATTTTATGTGAATTGCCTAGTTTTAAGATAAGTTCATATAACAAAGGGATTTAAGTTAAATCATAGTGATTATTCCTGGGCGTGCTTCTTGTAAAACTGTCCAGACTCCTGCTGTGTGATTCACTGAGAAATACCAACTCAAAACATTTTGAAGGAATAATATATCACGTCTTCCAGTGCTCCTAGCAGTGAACTATTTGTTTGCATTATCTATGGGGATACTTGTCTTGTGGACTATGATATCTGCAGAGCTCTTCACAAAAGTACTGAGCTGTGATCACTTAACAGCTTCATGGACTAATCTACCACTCAGGGCTATTAGTTGCCTCCCAGTTCAGTGGGTATTACTGTATCATGGAGTGACAAAATGGGAACTACTGGCTTTTCTTTGCTAGTAGTTAGCTAGTACTGCTAGTTAGTCAGTAGCCCTAAAGGCTGCCTGCTGGTTTTTGAGTGGAAAATACAATTGGTCTGTTCTCCATTTGCTAAGTTAAGTTTCTTCAGACTGTTTAGCCGTTTGGCTCTCTGTGCTGTCACAGACTACAGCCTAGAAAAAAGGTAGTGAATATTTTACAGGCAGCTGACCTGAGTCTTTAGGCTGTTTACTATGATTACATCAGTAGTATGTCAAGAGTAAAGTACTTCTTCCAAGCAAAGTGTTTTTCCTACAATTTAGTAAAGTATACACAATACAGTCACATTTATTATTATTATTATTATTATTTAGTAAGACAAAATATCACTTAGACTCATATGTGAGTGAGACCACTTACACTTCTGTGAGCACAAACTTTCTAGGAGCATTGTAGGCACTGCAGACAGGCCTGGAGAGGAAATGCTATTACATGCCAGCCTAATCCAGTTGAAACTGAAACTTAGTGATGAGCAAAGTACTGAAACGAGCCATAAAGGGGCATGCTAGAATCCAAGTTTCCAAGTCAAATACAGAAACTAGAGTCAGTTACACTGTATATTTAGAATGTTTAAGTGAATTCCAGGTGGATGTCTACCTTGAAAGCTGGCTTTTGGTTTAGATAAATACAAAGTTTCTTCAGTTCTTGATCTTCTGACTTACTGGTATTTGGTAAAGGTTAGTGAAACCTACTTTCCAGAGAAGATTGTACCAAGTCATAAATGTTCATTTTAACGGCACTTACTCTTAACTTCTGCCAAACTAAATATATGCTCACTTACAAACAAATGTTGCAGATTAGATTAGATGATCTCCTGCTAACATGATCCACATTCCATAGCAGGAGAAAAACACCCAAAACAAACAAACAAAACAGAAAAAGAAAAAATAACAAAAACAAAACAGAAAAAAAGTCTATTTTCTTAACCATGAGTACAAGAAACTGCATTCTTATATTGTACTAAAGATATCAGGTTTTTTAATGAATTTTAATTTGAAATGTTTGTTTTGAGAAGTTGTACTTCTGAAATCTTCATTTGAAACTATAGTCTTTATTAACAGTGATTCTCTTATAGACAAAATAGAAGATTGTGTTCAAAATCTGCTGTAGTAGGTTATAGTTCAAGTCATGGCCACGTCATCATTTTGGTTGGAGAGGTAAATTTTGATTGTCATATTAATAATGCTTCCTAAGAATAGGAAGTGTTTTTCTCCAACAGACAGTGTGACATATGATTCAGGAGGTGAAATCCTTTCTGAAGAGAAGTTGGAAATTCAGGCGCTTTTTTCCTGACCAAAAGTTCATATAAGCGCTTTTGTGAATCTCAAGTATTTCAGTACAGTCAACCATAGAGCTGTGTAAACAAGTCGTAGACGTAAACAAATGTGCTGTGGCTTTTACTTTTATGATTTTTCTTTAGTCTACTTTTTCATGGACCTACTCCTAGCTAATGCTTGCACTCTCCACATGAAACAAGTAATAATTCCACTGCATAACTTATTTATTAAGGTATTTGAAGAATAATACTCACTACAAGCAAAAGGGAAAAGTGTAAAACTTTCAGAAAGAATAGTATATCTAACCCAACTTGTAATAATGTTACTGTATGTCGTTCTACCAGTTTTATACATTGAACAGGCCCCTGGTTATAGATATAACAGTTATGGTCATAACAGTTATGGTCATAACTAAAGGTCTGCATGTACATATATATGATTACTGAAGAGCAATTAATGTAGCAGCATAGTTATAATGAAGTTTTTTATTATTTTTTTTACTGCAGCAGGAACCCCGGAAGATAAAATGCGATTATTTCTCATCTATTACATAAGCTCAACTCAGGCACCTTCAGAGGTTTGTATGTTCTTTACAGCTTCCAAAACCAGATTCTACCACACAGGATTTTTTGTATTGTTTCAGCAGTAAGTAGATATTTCTGCTTCTTTTTAAAGAGAAGTATGAAATGCCCAGGAAATATTAAAACTTTAAATAAATTTTGTAATGTTACAAAGAAGTCTGCTCACAAAGCTTTAGCCACCATTTCAAAGGATATGAATGGCTAGTAAGAAGGAATATTTAGATCAGTTACTGCAAGACTCATCTTGGCATGCTGTCTATTATTCTGCTCCACTACTCAATAGAAGTAGATAAAGCAATATGACTCTTTTCACTCTATCTTTGTATATTAAAGAATAATTGAGTCAGTTGACTAGCAGATGAATAAAGGAGAAATACATCTTGTGCCAATATCTGAATAATTCAGGAAACAATTTCTTAATATTTCTTTTGAATTTAAGATTATTAATTTCAAGGAAAAATCTTCTTGCACTGTCGAAATATTATGTGATGGAAAAAATGTTTGGTTAGGCAAATAGAAAGTGTTCTTATAAATGTATATTAGCTCCTCTTCATTTAGTATCTGCTGTTGTGACATTCTACAGAAACCAACATTCTGTCAGGGATTTTTTAAAAATGCTGATATAAAGACTGTTTCCATATCTGAAAGTGCACAGGATTTAATAAGAGCTGCTGTTGGCAAATTTTATTTTAAGTTATATTTTCATACTTCGTAGGAAATAGAATTAAGACTCATAATTAGTTTTTAACTTACTTTGGTTAATGCTATAACTTTGCACTGCTTGCTTAATATTTAGATACAGATATTAGAGTACCTTCAACCTCATGTAATTCTCCACTTCATAATTGCAGATTGATTTGGAGCAGTATAAAAAAGCATTGATGGATGCAGGTTGTAATCTCGCTCCTTTGAGCTACATAAAACAATGGAAGTAAGTATTTTCTTTTTTATCCTATATGAGGCTAGTGGGTCATTTTGCAGAACCCAGCATTGTATTCAAGAGTTGTGTTACTTCTCATACATCATAAATTGTCCTTAAACATTCATTCTGGTATAATTTTTTACTGTTATGGTACTACATGCAAATCTTATTTTAAAACTAACCTCCAGTAATGCCAGAACACTATTGAACAATGACACGTAGTAGTGCCCTTAATGATCCAGGACAGAAACAACTTACTGAATTAAATGAAAAGTTGTGCTAATTCAAACTCCAAAGGTTTTTTTGTTCATACCAAAAAGTGATGCTGCCTATCGGTTTTTCTAGTTTTACATGGTAGCAAAATAAAGTGTTTGTTTTTTAAGTCTCAAATCTAATTCCTATTGTATTGGTAGACAAGAGGGACGCATATAATAAATAGTTACTTCCCAAAAGAGTTTGAGATGCAGAAGTTTTTTCATTTTCAGATGACTAGGGGGGAACATTCTACAGCCCTATGTGCCATGAGATAAATATTTGATTTCTATCACTGCTTTCACAGGGCTTTCACTAAGATGGCTTCAGCTCCAACCAGCTATGGAAACACAACGCCTAAACCATTGGGGTATGCTTTTGATTAATCTTCTGTAAGCCTTTGAGTTCTTTTAGGTTATTTTAGTAGTACTGAAAGTGTGATTAGTACTATACATGGCTCAGAACAAAGTATGTCTCTATTTGTAAAAGTTTTAAGTTACAGACAATTACAAGCACTCATCTCCCCTTAACAGTGCATAGGAAACACAAAGAGGAAAGTAAATGGATCTGTGACTAAATCCACAAAGTATCTTAATATTGTGCTATCTTCACTTATACATTAAATTCACTCTCACAGGAATAGAATTCAGCACCAGGAACTGCATCTGTGACATCCATCATTTTAACCCTTACATAGTCAATGGCAGAAGATAAGAACAGCCCTGTATATTCAAAATCAGTTCTCTCTTGGTCTTGGACTGTCAGGGATGCAAGAACACACCGCTCTTTCATTACAACGTCATGGACAGGGTGTCTGTCTGCTTGTCAAAAGGCATAGTTATTTGTGCTAAGGGTACATATATCCCATCCAGGGTATAGGACTTGAGTCTTTCCATGCTTGAGAGGATTTGAATCCTCATACCAACTTTACTTTCAGGAGTGTGCTGTGAGTGTCATAAGGAATCCATGGCGCAGTATGGTTGGAGTGAATTCCGGTGCTGTTTCACTTGGAAAAATTGTTGGAGGTGCTCAGCATCTCTGCTAACTCTGATTAGGACTCTGTTAACTGTGATTAGAACACCCACTTGAACACTCAAATGCTTGCTGAAGTTGTAAAATAAACTATTCAGTGGGTTAAAGACTAGAGCTCAAGACTCCTCTTGATAGGCAAGGATCTAACTGCCTGATTATAGATGCATTCCCATACATTTGCTTGCTGTGTGGTATGAAGAATATGTTTTATGAAAAATTGAATTACTTGGTACTTAAGTCCCATCAACATTAATGGAAATTGGATGTCATATAAAGCTTAAGAATAAAAATATAAAAAAGGTCTTACACATCATCTTTATTTTGTTTTTTTCAGTCTGTTTTCACGTGTTATGAATACAGGATCACAGTTTGTAATGGAAGGAGTGAAGAATTTGGTACTGAAGCAACAAGTAAGTTTAAAAAAACAATAAAAAAGTCTGTTACATGAGTATTGTGAATACTTGGGAAAACAGATTTCAGTACCTCTATCATATTAATAAAATCCATTGTACATAAAAAAGTAAACATAAATCTCTGGATAGATCTATCACTTTGGAACTTCCTGTTTTTACATAAGTAACAAATAATGTTCACATTTTCTTTGAATCCCTCTTTGTAAGGAATTAGATTCCAGTATGTGCAATTAAGACTGATTTCAGCATTATAAGAAGAGTAGCTGTGGAATACTCAAAATAGTATTCCACATAAACATAAACAAAAAATCTGTGTCTTTACTTAGAACAGTATGTGTTAAGTGAATCTATTCCAGAATGATTGAAAGGCTGAAAAGTGTAAATTCTCTGTTCAGTTACAGTTCAAGCCTTTCTAGTTTTCCCACATAAGTAATGTACAGCAACCATAATCTTGTAATGTGCATGAAAATCAAAATGTGTTTATAATGACATGGCCACCTTCAAATATTTACTAAGCTTTATAAAATATTTCTGAGGATAATTTGCATGCAAATGTCAATGTACACCCCCCAAAAGAAAACAAACAACAACAAAAAAGAAACTGGTTGTATAACTTGCAGCTGAAATTTTGAACTGTGGTTCCCAGAAGTACTTCCCTGTAGAAGACACATTATTTTCTTCAATATGTACTTTCATCAGATGCCAGTAAATCAATATTTAGTTTATAATCTTGATTCTGTAATATTTTGACATCAATGTTTCTAAGAAAAAGATCATCAAATTCTTAGTTGAAAAATCAGAATTTAGTTTAGAAATACATCATATCAGAACTAATTAAAATGAAATCTTAATTAAACATTTATCTTTTTGACTTACTTAATCTTATCATTGCCATTGTTTGTTTATTTACCCTGTTAAACATATAATTTACGCATGAAAGGTATCAGCTATCTTGTAAAAATGGGATCTTACTTTTGTAGGTTATTCAATGAAGTTAATTGTGCAGGAATTTAACTGTGACTAGATATGATAAGTTGCATTACAAGTTACAAATCAGTAGTATACCACCAAAAATGGTTGAGGAAACTTTTAAAAATGCAGCTTGCTTGGAAGTTATATTTTATAGAGAACTGTTCAGATGAACTCTTACTTATAATAAAAGAAGATAATTATATTCTAAAGGAGACTTCCTGTTCTTTTATTTAACATTTTGTCATTTCTTTAAATGTGTGGCTTTAAAGAGTTAGTATTATTCCTGACAATATGGCTTGCATTGTTTTGAGTTCTGAGTGAGAAAGAAGTCAATTTGCCAATGTTTTCAGGATATGCCTTTTCTGGCTTTTAATTCCTTCTCTGAGTATTTTAGCTTAGCCAAATAAAATGCTGTTCTTCTCATATTTTTAAGCCTAATGTAAGTCTGTGGTATTTTTATTAAAGTTAACTTTATTTCTCCTTCAGTCATTTGGGGATTTACATTCATTTTTTACTAAGCGTTTTTCAGGGTACTGTGTAGATCGTCCTTTGGAATGTCCTTTTGATATATTCTGTCAACAAGACACATTTCCAATTCTGTTGCTATGTAAACTCACCCTCAGTTTATTATAACTGAAATAGTTTGACTGTTTAATACTTCAGATCTTTTGTCCAAGCTAAAATTTCCCATCTTAAATACGGAACAGTGGTCTTGAATCTCGCCTCAGTTTATTCCTTTGCAGTTCATCCAAACATTTGTTGCCAGGGTTGTTTTTTTTACCCATTTCTTTGACAACATTAGTTCTTGCTTAGGATCACACCCTTAATTATCATCTTCAGCTTTAAAATTCTTTCCTTTAACTGCAAAGAATTTTTTTAATAAAAGTTCATGTGTGATCACGTCTGCATATGTTGCTTATACCTAAATACAGTTCTGTTCCCATCTTCACACTTTTTTTGTACTTTACCTTCATCCTCTGGCTAGATGCACCTCAGATGTTTGCATTTTCTGTACAGAAGAGTAATTTAGGTGATGATAAATATGCTTAACCTTTACAAAATATAAGAGGGAAAATGTTGAAATTAGTATTTCAAATGCTCTGTAAACTCTTCCATAAATAATAGTGTACCTGCAAATAGTTCTTAGTAAGCATTTCAGCATTCCATTAACTTCACATTATGTTTTACAGAATCTGCCAGTCAGACGCATTTTGGACAATCTCATGGAGATGAAGTCAAACCCTGTGAGTACAACTGCATTCATACAGAGAGAGGTGGAACAAATGAAATCTTGAGGCTGGGATATATAATATAACAGGGATAATTTTTTTCATGATAATGCAGTTAAATCCAATCATGCTGTATTTCAAGAATAGAACCATTTTCATTACTATTTACTAAGACTTTTTTTATTGAAATTGTTTCTAAACAATGACAATTTATTGTGTCTCATTGGAACTAGTATTTTTGAGGTTTTTCCTGGTCTGAGCTTCTATTACTCTTCTGCTGTACTGAGCTTCTGTTGCTCCTAAATTTCTGTGTTAAGCTGTGGGTTGAAGTTTTCTTTGCATCAAGGTGATTTTTTTTTAAAAGAGCACAATTTCATAAGTAAAGTAGTTACAAAGAGGCATATTAGAGAAAATTTCATTTCCCACATCTTTAAACTGTGCTATATAGAGGAAAATATTTTACTACTGATTCAGTCATTCTGTTTGCAAGCAGAGATGGTTGTTGTCGGGAAAAGTCCTCTTTTTGGCTTGTTTCTGTGAAAATTTACTCAGACTATTTGAAATTTATATATTACAAACTTCTGAAATGCTTACGTGTTATCTAGATAGTCAAGGCATTTGCTAGAATTTACATCTAAAAATAGCCCTGTGTCTGGTTATGCCTAGTATATAATCAATGCAGTCATTTTTCTTGCCGTGTATTTAGTTCCTGCAAAACTCTTACATATGACCAACCTGTTCACATACTTGTCCTGAAAAAATCACCTGTTAAAAGTTATTTAGAAAGCTTTAATATGTTTGCCACATCATATCAATCTTCCTCATTTAATGACATCCGCATCAGACATTATATTTATATATTATATATTTATATGTATTATATATATTATAATTGTATAATTATAATATCTCACACTTGTTAGTAGATTCAAAACATTCTTAGTCCACTTTCACCTTCAGCTATTAACTATATATAAAGGGAGAAAAATAATTGTAAAATATGAAAATTATCAACATGCAAGTAATCCTTTATTCTCTTAAACTGTACTTCATTGATGATATGTGTCATGATTCTTAAGTGATAATTTGCTTTCTCTTAACAAACAAAGGAATTGACACTTTTTTCAGTGTTAGTGGATTGTTGTTCCTATTTGCAAGAGTTGCAAAACATGTACAGAGCTAATTTTAGCTAGTCAACCAGTAGATGTCACCCAGAACACTTACCACAGAAAGCTGAAATTAAAACTACAGAAAACTTACAAGTAGGTGTAAAACAAAACAATATTTTTTCAAAATAAACACTAGCTTCCTTAGGCTACAAGTTTAGGAGTTGATTTGGAAAAATTTACAAGTCATATAGGGTGGGGGTTCTGAGTTGATATTGCCACATTTTACTTAGTAGAAAACAGCCAGCACCACTTTGATAATTTGGAAAAAATATTGATCTTCTGACTGAAAAAAGCAGTCATTGAGCCAGTCTGTCAGTCAGCAGCTTCACATTCCACTGGCATGTCAGAGACTGATATTCATGGCCTGAAACAGGGAGAACTACTTTTCAAGTCATAGGAGAACAGGCAAGCCCTAAAAAATGATTTTCGTAATCTGCAAGAAAATTGACAGCAAGTTTTGGAGTAAATTTCAGCTAACAGAAGCAAGCCAGAGAGTCATTGTGGAATATATTTAGATTTGCTGTACCACCAACAGAAGTGAAATTGTATCTGGAAAAAGTCAATGCGTAGATATACACCATTGTGGCGGCTTCTGTGTTTATCTTCTGATATTTGGAGTCTTTTTCTGTTCCCCAGAATAGAAAACTATTGCACTGCAGGCAAAATACAAAGGCAGGGGAAAAAAAGCCCTCGTGATTTAATATTTTTACAACACAGAAAAAAATCTCTATTATGGTTCATTAAATCTTATTAACCACAGTGATCAGTGTATGAATAAAAGTTGTAATGCAAGATTAGAGCAGATTATTGAGAAGTCAAACAATTATTACAATGAACATAAATAATTTAAATTAATTTCTAGATATGAACTGCAACAATAAAGTAAATATATAAAATGTACAACTTGTACCACAAATATTCACAAATATTGTCAGTTGAAATCTTAAACCTATTTAGAATGATACCCTATGCAAAACTCTGTAAGGTTGTCTGTAAATCACTTTGTGAGTTACTTGTCCCTGCTATTTCTTTTGTCTCACAAGGACAAGCTTACCAGCAAGGACACAGGTCTATACCTGTGCTTTCCAAGTTTTTCAGAAGCAGGAACAGCAAGAACAGTTCTTACGGGCAATAATACCATCTTGTAATTTTTTTAATTTGTGTAGATTAACTATAGTTACATTTTTTCTTGAAATACTTATTCAGAAGCATTCCTTCATGACCTTAAAGTAATCTGTTACTTGGGGGTTTTTAAAATAATAATATTTGTTGGTCAAAGCAGGTTTTTAAGGAATTGCTTTTAAGATAATGTTTTCACAAAGGAATGTTCTGTTCATAAATCTACTAACATACTTGCTTTGTTTTGGTGTCCCTTAATAGATCGATTAAAACCTTAAATCTTCCTAAAACAAAACAAAAAAAATCTTATTGTCAAGTGTACATGAATTTATCCCATAGGTATGAAAATGATCCTCATTTACTATAGAATTATGGAGGTTCTTTTAAGTATCTTCTACAAAATAATTTGATTATTGAGTTAGGACAATCTTTGATAAGTAAAGCTTCACAAAGGGGTTTAGCTTCAGTGAATACAGAATGTACATTTGTATTGACTTAAGAGGTAGATAGATCTTATTTGTGATATATATTAATGAAACTGTATTTTGGTTAATACCATCCCTTTTAGTGTATATGGTATCTTTCAGATTTGGGATATATTGTAGGATTACCTTTCATGCATTACAAAATAAAATTCTAAAAATAGAGGGTTTCCTTAATCCAAATTAGTCATCTTAGATTCTGCAGAAAAACAAATACATACTGATAGTTAATGACATTTCCATGGGATTTTTTCCATTTTAATTTGAAATCTTGACAATTAAGTATGCAAAAGTATGCATTTTCTTCTTGAATTGTTTCAGGAAGTCACAATTCACACAATTCAGTTGTGTGTAAGGAAACAGCTATACAGTTGTTTTTGTTGGCAAGCTAGCTGTTTCTTAAAGCAAATAAAATCAAATAGAGTTTCTTTTCTCTGTACCCTCAGAACTGGTTTCAACAGGAATGGTGTATTTAAACAACAACAAAAAATAAACTAATTTATAACATTTAGATTTCTTAGCCACTTTTCATGTGTCTACTTATACAGGCTGACAGTGAAAAAACACAGGAGTAATACATTCAGGAATAAATGTTTGTAATATGTGTATTAACTCTCATTTTTAGTTCTGGCATTAATCTGTAATTCATTCTAACAAGCAGAGAAAGTGCAGTTCTTTATCCCAGGTAAATGTTTCTCAAATACCTCTCAGTTTTAGTTTATCAATCTCTGTCCATTCCCAGCTCTCTCATTACTTCAAAGTCACTATATCACCTTTATGTACAAAGCTGCCAAAATCATGAATGCTGGCAGACTACAAATGTAGTTGAAATTGCCGGTGGAGCATATAAAAGCATTTTACAGAGGTTCAGTGTGAAATTAGATCTAAATTAATTTTTTTTAAAGCCAAACTTCAGGATAAGAGAGTTATTTTATGTAACTACATAAAAGTTCTTAATATAAAATAGATTTATTTTCTGTGTGTGTAACCACATGTATATTAAATATTTTTTAGTATTAGAGGTAGTTATACTTTGACTCTAATAAATTCCCCAGATAATCTGTCTGCTACTCAAGAAGTATTTTTTCTGTAGTACAGAATCATCAAAAGAGAGGTCTTTCCATGTATGCACCCAGGTGAACTCAATTGTAGTCGTGCATACAGTTTATCCACAGAGTACCTGGATGAAAATGTAGTGTAGAAACAGCAGAAAGCCAAGTAGTTGTCAAAAGGAGTTACTAAGAAGTTTTGTTTTTCAACCATTATAATTGGTAAAAATCCTACTTGTTGCCAATAAAAATATTGGAAGTACCTCAATGTTTTGTGTGAAGAAAAAATTTTTTTGTATAGTTTAGACAGTCAGACTTTTCAAATGCTTGTGGAACACATTTCTTCTTCAAGAGCTTAATTTTGGTTTAATAGTAGTCATAAATCATGAAATGAGAAGGATAAGTTACATAACAGTAGCAGATTTTGATCTGTCTTGTATTTAGCATTCATTGCCACAGAAGTGTTTTGTTTTATAATGTTAAAACAATAGCAAATCTCTGTAAGCTGGAAAATTTTAGCATTTATAACTAACCGTGTGGTGTTCCTATAAAGCTGATAACACCGTACTTTTTCTTTCTGCATACTGCCTTTCTCTTGGGATTTATTATGCAACCAGTGTATTTTTTGGAAAGTGTGTGATAGTCAATTTTAGATGAACCGGAAATAAAAAGCTTAATAGTACCCTTACAGCTTCTCACTGCTGTTTATTCTGTATTGGTTCAGTTACGTCCAAACTTTATAAATATTAGTGGACACCACAATTAATTTTGAATTATGTGATGGGAAATTATGTTGGTTTGAACTATGTTTAACATAATAGATACAAGCCAAAAAATGCCAAACTTTTGAGATAAAAACATACTTTTTAATAGGAGACAGATGACTACCGGTATTTTGACCCCAAGATGCTACGAGGCAGTGACAGGTGAGTTTACTATGAGTTTTGCTTCTTTCCTTGTACTCTGTGAAAAGGCTAACTTAAGAAATCTGGTTTTATTTTACTTGCTGACTACAAGTAATTAATTTTAGTCATTGATTCTAAGTCAAGACAGTTGGTGTTGAAGGAATTCACAATGGGAACTTGGATCAACCAGATATATCTTGTAACACTGCAAAAAAAAAATCTTTGTTCCAGTGACTGAACATGCTGCTAACATGTACATCAGTTCAGTCATGGGAATTTGTACTAGTATTTAGCAATAATAAATGTTAGAGTTATTCATAGTTGTACTGCTTGGTTTCTCTGAAACTTTGTGGTTTTCCACTGTTTGAAAAACAACCCGCTAAAAGTTGACTGCATTTGCTTTTGTGTGGGTAGGTGCACATTTTATGTTTATGTGCATATGAAGGGAGATTTGGATATAGTTTATTTTACCAGTAAAAGAGAGGAAGAGGAATTACACTAGAAGTTTATAAATTTTTATCTTTCGCTTTGTATCTTTGATCAATAACTGGCTGATAGTCACACCTAATTTAACATCCTAGAAACAAAGATACTTTATTTTAATATACCTTCTAAAAATAATTTTCGTCAAACCTGTGGGAAAACAATCAGCTCATTTAGTTGCAGGAGTTTATTAGGGGACAAATGTGGATAAAGTAGGTCCAGACTTGGTTTTATTTACTTGGTTCATCTGTTCTTGAAACATGGAAAGTAAAAAACAAATTTCAGATAATATGTAAGTTTTATTGAAAAGTATTGCAGATTATGTAGTTTCAAAGATAAGCAGATTTTGAAAGTGTCAGAGAAGAAAATCACTAGTATTTTGTATTTTAATTTTAACTTTCGTTGTTTTGTAATGCTTTTGTAGCATTTCTGGTGGATTTTGTGCAAAAGTGCAAAGATTTGTTTCACTAAAGCCAAAGAGTTTTTCTCGTGTACATATACTTTTTTACCCACTCCGTATAGTTCTAATGTTGCTCTAAACAATGTAAAAATAAGCATTTACAGCAGTTCATAAACGTGCCATTATGTGTAGCTGTAATAGTCATTGCAGGGAAAAGCTTTTAATTTCTGGTTTGGGGTTTTTTTGGGTTTTGTGCATAAACTTAAGTTATATTCCTTAAATCATATTTGATCATGACAGCAAAACTCTTAATATAGCCATATAGGGGTTTGTCTAATTCTCCCTTCAAATATTTATGTAGATGATAAAAAACATAGGTTAGCTGGCATGACAAAGTATTACTTGTTTAAAATAGTGAAATCAAATAATATAATTAATGGGACAATATTAAAAAGTGACTAATTTTATTTTCTAATCTAGTACTATTTTAAAAAATATTGGCATTGCTATCTATTATGTTTTAAATAGAGTAGGAACTGCATTCCTGTAATTCAGTCTTAGCTAAAGAGTACCTTTATATCCTGTGTAAAGCCTATGTCAAATATAAACAGGCCTCGTCCTCTGAAAGGATGACACAAAATGTATGTGGATTTGCTATATGATATTCAAAAGAGAGCATTGGGGTAACACTTCTACTTATGGGGAGTCTGCAATATTCATGACGGACAAAGCAACATATTAGACATAGCCATTCTCTTTTAAAACCTGTTTTTCTGGTACACTGGAATCTGTGTTGAGTCAATTTTTGTTGGTCTCTCAGAGAAAACTTCTTGGAATAAGAGAAAAGGTAAGCTGAAGGGGAAAATGTAATGCTTTTAATCCGTGTTAGAACATAAGATGTATTTGAGTGCCTGGGGCTACAGATAGGAAGGTAGTGGTAGTGTGTGAGCAAAGGGCAGGAGGGCAGACTGACCCTTCATAGCCTTTTCTTCGCTTTCCCCTTCCTCCTGAAGGTGCAAGGTTTCTCCCACTGTCCGTGCTACCTGCCTGTGAATTCAAATGGAGAGGAAGAGTCTGTACCACCAAACTGTAACTTACCTTTTCCTCCCAAAATAATTCTGATCCCACATACCTCCTGCCTAGAGTAGTTTTTGAGATTTTGAAGCTATATCCAGCCACTGTAAACTGACTGGCTTACCTGGTTAAGATTCCAGTAGGCAGGATTTGTAAGTGCCATGAACTGTGCTAATGCTGGTGACATTTTTTACTCATGGTATTTGCTCCTAGGTAACAGCACCATAGTTAGAGCTTTTAAACTCTGGAAGAGTTGTTGTCATAAAGCTTATGATTCAAACAGCAACCTTAAAAATGATGAAGTAAGACTCCTATTTACTCATGTATTCAGTCCTGTAGAATGAATTGTTTTCTGTAACAAATAATTTAAATAAAACACTTGGAGGATGAATGCACAAAGGCAATTATTGTTCTATTTTATACTTTTGTCTAATATTATATAGTATTTCATAAACATGATGTGTATATTACTTATTTTGCTTATTTATATTCATGTCTAATAAAATATGAACTGTATGTTTTTGTGTGGTTTTTTTTATAGCTCAGTTCCAAGAAATAAAAATCCATTCCAGGAGGTAAGTCACATAGGAATTATTTTTTCAATGTGTTAAAAATAAATACATCCTGAAGTACCAGTCATTTTTGATAATCATGATTAAGAAAATGAGAGGCCTTGTTTGCAAAAAAAGCACTTAAAACTAATTATATCTAGTATTAATTATAATTAGCTGTTATTCTGAAGAAGGCTTTTCATCTTCAAAGAACTGTGTAAGCATGAACTAATACTGGAGAAAAAAAATCTAGCAAATTCTTCTGAAGGTAATACAAGGACTTACTAATATCCTAATTGGGTACTGAGTAATTTAAAACCCCATTTTTATACCAAATCTTGAGAATGTTCTCTAGATTTAATCCTCTGTCCAGCCTTAAACAGCAGTCTTGACCACTGATGTACATGACTATTTTAAACAGTCTCTGCAATTAAAGGAAAGAAGCAAAATAATTAATGTTGTCATTTCATACAAATGCTTGTAACTTTCAGTATTTTTCAACATAAATATTTGCAAATAGTAGAAGTCTTACTTACCTGACCTGACTACCAAGGTTCATAAGCAAAATCTTTACCTTGGCAAAGACATACAAAAGTCTCAGATTTCTCCTGAAATGTTCTAATTATCTTCCAGAACAAAAGAAATACCATGTGGTATCATATATATGGCTAACAGATGGTCATAGCAAAAATGTCAGTAATAACAATACAACTATTAAGTCTCCTTTGTCTAGTCATTAATTGTTCTCTTTTAAGCGTAGCCCAGAAAATACTGATGGCCTTTACCTGTAATATTGTAGATTATTACAGGTAAATAAGTGGGAAGTGGGAAAGCACAAAAAAAGTAATGTGTTGAAACCATGTCTGTATCAAGTACTTCTTAATACAAAATTGTGATTATTTCTGTTTTGGATTTAATGATTTGCTATTTTGCTACTGAAATTATGAGAATTTCATTGCATACTCTGATAATGTGTGTGTTGCCTTTTAGGCCATAGTGTTTGTAGTCGGAGGAGGCAACTATATTGAATATCAAAATCTTATTGACTACATAAAGGTATGTGTACTTCTTTGGTTGCAGTATATAACTTACTGATAGAAACCAGTCATAGCAGGTTTTCTGTAATATTTAGCATTTGGAAGATCAAGTCTATGAAATTAGCCTTAAAATCCTTGTTCTATACAGAGTCTGGGAAAAAAGTACATAAGAAATCAGTAGAAATTGTGGATTACTAATTCAGACCAAGAAAGACCTGTTTCTGCTATTTTGCTCTGTTGTACTTTGGAATTGAGTAAATAATATGCATTCTTCTTTATTTTGTCTTCATACACACCAACATGGTTGAAAACTGTAGCAGACATAGCTAAGTGAATTAACCTCTCTTCTGTACTGATACATTAAATGCTGTCAGTTTGGCTGTTCATACTGTTTTAGAGTCCTGTTACTAGTTTTCATTTGCTGTTCTTAAATAAAGCAGCTGTAGCATATCGTAACCTTGAAAGTAAGGAACTGCTCAGAATTCTTTAGTTTTCATAAATATTACAAAAGAGATACTACAATGCTTTTTTATATGCAGCTTAGGAATGTAGAGTCAGTTCAAAATACAACCTGCAGATTACAGTATCTTATTTTATGACAATCTTACTTGAGTGTAAAGGGTTTCAAAAGCCTATGTAAATACTATGCTATCTGTCAAAGCAAATATCAGATTAGCATCAGTATCTAAGTGCTTATTACTTACCCACATTTAAAAGTTTTCACTCGTGAGTTAATGGAAGCTCATTCTTGTTACACTGCATCATTTATTCTGTGTAGAAATCATAAGATATGCACAAAGAAAACATAGGCACAAAGAAGAAAATACGTAACCAACTGTGTAACAGGTCTAATTTCTCTGGTTCCAGATGACCAGTCTAGCAGAACACAAAATCAGTGGATGGAGAAAAGTTAACTAAATCATTACAGTTCCTGGGGAGCGGGGATGGTATTCCAGCACTTTCCAGGAATAAAAAAAATACAAAAGGAATCTTAGTAAAATTTTGAAGAAGGTAAAAAATTATTTAAGAGCAGCAGCATGCCATTCTTTTTTTCTGATCCTAACCTTATTCATGGTACAATTGTCCTGTCCTGTGGTAGACTGGATTGAGGCTTTTCACACAAAAGAATAAATATGGAGCATTAGTCACTGAAAAACACTTCTTCCAAAAAACAAGCACATGAGGGCTTTATGTCCAGGTAAATCATGAAGAATGAAAAGTCAGAACACGTGTGCTGAGTTTTCCCCTCTAACAGGCAGCCATTTTGGAACAAAGATGGTCTGGATAGGGGAAAGGATAGAAGAGGAATGGAAATTAAAGTCATTTAGACTTATCACCATCCTTGATAACTAATTCAGTGAGGCATCTGCCTGTAGCAGAGTGCACTGTCAAACATTTAGCTTGCTCCTTAGTTTACCCAAAGCCACTTCAGTACCATACGAATTCAAAAAGATGCCCGGCAACATGTGTATTTGTGGTGTATATTTGTTACTTCCTACTAAAAAAAAAATCTCTGAATTCCCTAGAGGCTACTACACTTCACTGATTATAGCTGCACACTGACAGAACTGAGGTTTGCTGTGTACGTTTATATACAGGGCATTTGTAAGATGACAAGTTAAGCACTCGGCACTTCATACAAAGTGACAGGAAACTGTAGTTTCTGAGAAATAAGAGGGCAAACAGGAAGTCATTTGATAAACAGAGGGAGAGTACCGAAGGAACTGAAAACTACATGAATGGTAATGTTAGATCTTATGGAGAGTCAGAGGCTGAACATACTTTTTCTTCTCCTGGAACCTGTGAACAGTTGTCACAGCTAAAGGGTGCTGTACGTTTCTCCGATCAGATGGTGTACATGAGCAGTGGGAGGTGACCTCCCAAGGGGAAAGACTCCTTCACCTTTATTCCACTTAGCCATTTGCTCTTCAGAAGACAAGATTAATGAAAACCTTAATTCTACCACCACCTAGAGACTTGGGTGCCTCTCCCAGGTGACTCTTACAGGCTTATCCAATAAAATTTGCTTTTCCATATGGTACACTTCCAGCCTCTATAGTTTCAACAGATGTATGTAGTTTATTAATTATTCTCATATTCAATCAGTCTTCCTCCAGATTAAAAAAAAGAGAAAAATCAACAACCCTTGCTTGAGAAAATCAACATGTTCTTGCAAGCAGATACCACAGAGATTTTATTCACTGCTTTATTTTTCTAAGCACTATCTGTTTTGCCAGTTTGCATCTGAAAGCACAGAGAAAATATTTTAAAACTTTCTAAAACAGGAAGCAATGTTCATTCAGCTTTGACATTCTGAGGGTTTTTTTGTACAAGAATTAAGAGGAACACTCAAATCCAATTATTTGCAGTTCAGTGCTAGAATGGACTATCTCACAATATCAAAAAGCAAATATTTATAGTGTCATTAAGGCAGATTGTGCCTTAAAATAAATATATTGGCCAAGATCAGTTCAACATGCTGAAACCATGTCACCAGAATTGCAATCCATAGGAAGCCTCCAAGGGAAGGCTAGCATACTGTTTTGTACAAAAGAATGTAGCATATCCTTTCATTTCCTTTTGCAGATGGTTAGAAAAGTACTACTTGTTAATCTGTTCCAATCACAAGAAATTTAAATCAATCATAGTTTTTCAGTCATTAAGAAATACTGGACTTTGAAGAGTACTGAAGTTTGAGGGTTTTTTAGATATAAAGCAGTTTCAACTTGGCTCCAGTCATTATTTGCAGATATAGCTCTTTGTTTGAATAAACTAAGAAATGAACATGAATTACATACACATATTTAAAATTACACTTTTAGAGTGTGGCAAACTGGAAGTGTACCTTCATGTTTCTTAGAGCTGCCTGAAAGGCAACAGTCTCATTTCACTGTTATTTGTATAGTTTAAAATTTTAGTACAAGGCAGAAGCAAATGTTCTCAATCACAGTATGGAAAGGGGAATCTGTCAAAATACTGGTTTAGAACACAGATATCAAGATTTGAAAGAATGGCCTGAAACGTCTGAAGATGAAAGCTCAAGATCCTGCTCAGCAACAAGAATAGCTTATTACTACAAAACACTCAATAAAGATGAGAACTTGAACCAGGATTACCATCTCCCCAGTAGGCATCCCCACCAGCTAAGGACTGTTTAAATCTGCTTCTGGTACTTTCTGCTGAAATGGCACAATTAGCAGTTTATGTGAAACAATCATTTTGTCAATGATTCCTATTTTGCTCTTTAATAGGTAAATTTTACCTAACTAATATGGGAAAAGGCAAAATAATTTAACAGTGAAACAGATTTCTCAAGCCTGTGCTAGAACTCTGAAGACTCAGGGAATTATTAACCCAACACTGGAAGTAAACTCAGTCTGAAACTATGTATAACTTAAACTAATTTTCACTTCCCAAATGCTAACATTGCACTTTGGTAGCATTACTATATCTAGCGAATACTGTTAAACTGCAAACTGAGTTTATTATGCATCTGAGGGAACTTAACATTTTGTTTCAGAATTCCTCTAAAAAAAAAAGTGCTGTTTTAATATCATCATCATATGGAAATAAACTACAGGTGGAAGTTTTCAGGCTTTAACCCAAAAGAAACAGTTAATATGTTGGCACTATTCTTAGCGAATCGCCCAGTTATTCTGGGGAGTAAGGCTTTACTCAAGTAAGGTTGTTAGCTTCCTGAAGCCATTCATAGATAGATCGGAGAGCTTTGCATTCTAGTGAGTTTAAATGTATAAGATGTCCCATTTTTCCACTTTCTACCTCTGGTCCTTTATTTTCCACTTCAGTTTATTTACAGGCTTTTTTCCTGCAGTGGAGCAACTATTCATTTTCCAGCCAAAAGCATAAGACTTCAACATCATCAAGATTTTACTGGTTTCTTTTAGTATATAATTAGTTTAAGCCACTTTTGCTCTCTGTTAAACACTTTATTTCTTATGGATTTTTCTTTTTTAGGGTAAACAAGGCAAACATGTCCTGTATGGCTGCAGCGAACTTTTTAATGCTACGCAGTTTATAAAACAGGTAGATAACTTTGATAACCTCTGTAATATTTATTACTTCTTTAACTGTGTGTTGACTTATATAACTCTACATCTCTCCATGGATTTTTACCAAAAAAAACCTAATTTGTGAAGATTTAATACATATTCTTGTTAACCATTTTTGTTTGCTTGAAGTGGGGGCTCGAAGCTGTTATTTTTCATTATCTTTTGAAGACTGTGTTGTGAATGTGAGTTCACAGGTAATGCAGGAGAACAAGTTCATAATTGCCTTTTTAGAAATCCTAGTGAAAAAAATTGAGTTAGTTCTTGATACATTCACAAATAACATGTCTTTCCAGGCTGTTCTTGCAACAGTTAGAAGATCTTTAAACCCTTGTCCTGGTTTATAAATATGTGTGTGTATGTATATAAATGCTGGCCTAGTGTAAGCTTGTTGTCCATACCTATACTAAAATCTGTATTTTAGTGTTTTTAAACATCATCATCACCATTACTTCTCTATGCCTCATTCCATTATAAATAAAAAATAAAAATTATTCATGGTAGTCAGCAAATAGCAGTCCTTCAGTAGCTGTCACCACCTATGTTTTTATGTCCTACTAAGATGAGAATAAGTTGTTATTCTAAACTACATTTTAAAGAATTAAATTAATTTTTGTTGCACTTGAAGGAAACAAATGGTACTTAACAGCTTTTAACTCCTCATTCAGCTTAATTAACCTTTTTTGTTGTCTTGACTGTGTACCTGTGAGATTTATTCAAATCTGAAGATTTGAAGCTCAGATCCTCTCCTCTGAGGGTATGCATTAAATATTCTGTTAACAGCATACTTCTGGTTGTCAGAGACAAACAAAGCTTATAGGACAGAAATATTTACGCTATGAACTGGATATTAGTTTGAAAGAATAAGATTAGCAACCTAATGATTTTCTGTCTCTTCATGTTTAGCTGTCCCAGCTTGGCCAGAAATAAGACTGAAACACCTGGATGGCAGTGTGACAACAGAATCGTTACCACATTCAGATATCTTCATATCTTTAATTTTGTCATTATATTAAAACTTAAACCCGTTTCACTAATATGATAACTTTTAAAAAATGTGTAATTAATACGGTGTATATCAGCATTTCAGAAATAAACCTTAAAACCTGATATATTTTTGGTGGGGGTCAGTTTTACATTATTAAATTTTAAATGCAGTATTAACTATGGTATATGACAGAGATGGCTGAAAAGCATGGCATTTTCAAGTTCTTATATGTAAGTTTCTGATACAGTAAATAGGGCAATAGTTTCAAGAAAAGGTCAAATCTGAGATATTCGGGGATATGTTCTTCTCGAAACCAGAATATCTTTATTTAACAAAATTGAAAAGGACGGAACTACCTTTTAGGGCCACAGACAAACAGCCTTAGTGCTAGAGAACTACTTCTTCTAGTTCTTACCCTTTTATTTTAACCAAAGTCCTTAGATTTGTGCAGTCTTTGTTTGGTGGTCGAAAGATGTACTTAAAGATACCTTCAAGTTTCTGATGCAGTAATTTAGCTTTTCTCTTAAGAGAAAATTGCTTGTCTACACAGTCACAGTTTCAAACTGTAGAACTTAAATCTTTAATTTTTTCTGCACCTTTGTTTGTAACTGCATTGACTGTTATGTTTGGGAAGAACCCAAATCATACTCACAAAACAGCTTTTAACTGTTTTATAAGCACATATTTAAAATACAGTTTTTAAGAATTCCATTCCAATGCCTATTCCATTAGGCAGGGGCAGTTTAGTAGTTCAAAGAATCTCATTATATAATTACGTTTTGCCAGTAATGATAGCTCTGGAGAGTGCATAGAGGAACTGAGAGAAGGTAACAAAATTTTTTTTAAAGATTTAAGTCTCTGCCTCTAGAAACATCCTCTCTGGAAACAGCACTGCTACAGGTGAAGTAATAATATGCCTTCAAAATGAGGCTTAACACACACAAAAAGCAAAAAGCAAACACTTTTCGTGAATTTATTAACAAACTGTGAAATTGTAAGAATTACTGGCTTACTGTAAATTTTTCAGCAGTGTTTTTTGCACCATTTTTCAGTGTCGAATGTTGATTTTGCAATAAACACAATACTTTTTCCCCAGCTAGATTGTTTTTCATAACATTTATACAAGAAATGCAGTTGATCTATTCCTTAAAAGTATCACAAGAAAAATATGCATAATCTGGATCATGTTATCAAAAAGTAATAATGTTATTTAATTATCTCAGCTGAGCATTGTAAGCTACTCCATGCTACTACTATAAATTTCTAACTTTGACAAGTCAATAAATATGTTTATTGTGGTGTTTATTGTAGTTGTTGCATGTGAGCACTCTCCCAGACTTCAGTAAGCAAGAACTCACTGTCAAATGCAGTTTGTTGTTCTAGTTCCCTATGCATATACTGTATTTGTTAGTAAAAACAAAGTGTGTTTGGAAAAGAAAATTACTTTTAAGGTGTTTATTGCTTCCTGTGGGAGTTCATTCCGGGTTCTTGAAATAATCCCTTCTCAACTGTGCTTCCTATGCAGTGTTTTAGCCTTGCAGCTGATAACCATCTTACCAAAAACCTACCAATTGCTTTTTGTCCAGATCGTGGCACCGCTCCCTTAAACCAGGAGCACTTCTAAATCACAGCTTACAGAATTCACTCTTTCAGTAAATTGTGTAAAGATACCAGAAATTCCCTTGGTGGCTACATTCAAAAATCTCAGTTTTCAGTCTTTACACGGCCTCTGGAGAAACATTTCGGTTTTGCCCAGCTTTATAGCTGGGTCTTCAAGACTGCACTGGTCAATTTGAGGTTTGGGTTTTTAAAGAAAAAATTAATACAATTTTCATACTTCAAACATTCTTTTCCTTCCTTTCTAACCTAGTTTTCTGGTTTTGTTGTAGTAGTAGCACTAAAGCTCTTTGTTACCAATAAGGTAAGGCTTTCCAGCTCTACCTCTGTAGGGGTGTACCTACATCATGCTTCTCCCCTTCTGACACAGTTTGAGTTATGGTGTGCTGGCGTTTGTTACATGGCCCTTTTTCCCCAAGTACCTCTTGTGGATAGAGGAATGCAGAAGGTTGTACAAGAAGTCTCTATGGTTAATCCAGAGGCAAACAATGTTAAAAGTAAGCTGTTTCTTTGGTAAGTTTGTTCAATTTATAGCCAGTCACCGTGCCCTTCGTATCCTCAAAGGCCGGTGCTTAAAGGAGAGGTTATGCGTGGCTCAGTGGATCTTTTAAGTAAAATAATAGCAGCAGCATTCATGTTGCTAATAAATACTTTGGACAGCTGCATACAGGACAGGGAGGTTTGGAACTTTTCTAGCTTCTTCTCTGTTAATAAGCCTCTGAGAGGACCAGCACCAGCGCCAGCTTCTGGCACAGCAGTTCCAGCTTCCACATCTCAGGACAGGCAATTCTTCATTGGGATCTACCTTCCCATGTAGGTAAGTAAAAACAGCACGAGGCTGAGTGTCAAGTGCTAAACCTTTCTCAGGAAGAAAATTAGCAGTCTGGTCTTCAGCTGTAGAAAATCGGCACATCTATCTTTCGGGAAGTATAGGAAAATCTTAAAAATCATTGCATGTACTTAAGAATTAATTCACATTTTGAAATTATAGCCCTTTGCTTGCTTTCTTGCTTTAATTTGAAGGATTTAGAATACTTAGATGGATATTTTTTGATTTAATGATGAATTTAGTGCCTCTGTTTTTCAGAATTAAGACCCTTCTAAAAAAGAAAAAGTAACAATTAAAAGAATGAAACAATCAGAATGAGTTAAAGAAGCCTCTGGTGACCACCATCTGGTTTAAATGCCCTTACTTGTATAACGCTCTCTGATAGAAATCAGATACAAATCTTTCTTATGTTAGAAGTAAATTTTGCTAAGATTGATGGTGTTTACATCAGTCTGAATGGAATGTAAAGTAGCAGCTTTTCCCCAAAACACATCAATTCTGTAGAGAATAGGAACACTGCTGTCAGTCACAGTTACAGAGCCAACACTGCTGTGCATACAGAGCACAGACTAGACTGAAGAAAGTGCAGCACTTCTCTTTTTGCTTAAATGATACACTCCAAAATGGAATTGCTTAGTAGTTAATCCAGTGTGTTGGCTGGAGCAATCCTAAAAGGTTTAAGATGTAAAGGGTTTATAAATAGGTACGTAGGAATTGACTTCAAAACTATCACAACTATGTTCTTCAGATCTGAAATAAAAGATGTTGGGCTGGAACAACCTCCTATCCCTTGTTTACTGACAGTGGAGAGACCACTCGCTCTCTTTGTTTGGATGGTTCCTTTGTTGTGACTCATTGCTGACAGATGGCTCTGGATCAGAGAAAGTTAAGCCTGACCAGTGTTCTGGTGGTACAAAAAAGTTAACCACAGTGTTGATGATTTCTATGTAATTTCAGAGATCAGATATGTTAATAATTTTCTTGCTGTGAATCAGTAGATGATTTAACCCACTTCTGTTTTATTTGGAAGTGGTTTAGTAACGCTATTCTGTGAAACAATCTCAGTTGTTTTCAGCAACATTCAGATATATTCTGCTTCTTAATGTGATCACATGTCACTGCAACACACATACCCTCCTTCAACGGTATACAAAAATCTGAATATTTAATCTACCAGTGCATCATAATTTTTTTTCTACAATTATAAACCCTTAGGTGGTTAAATTGCCAAAGGAATTTTAAATTTAATTATAAACTTTGTAGCTTTCTGTTTACCTGCCAGTGTCTTTCCCCTTCTATAAACCAAGCAGGACTAAATTTTACATTTTTAAAAGGTTATATTAACTTATTCCAACTCCTTCTCATGATTGCGTAGGTGGACTTTCTTGAATTGATAATGGAGGAGTGGTCTTTATCCCGTGAAAGCAGACACATGCCCCAAAGCCTCAGAACTATCAGTACCAAGTCCTATTTCAGTCTCCCCGTCTCTTGTGTATGCATTCCTATTTCTGGCACTGTAAGATAGGTAAATCATATGCATAATGCTTTTACAGAAAATTGCTTTTTACCACCTCAGCATGGACATGCAGTCATTTACTGCTCTGAATTCTTTCTTATATTATGCATGTATCATGAAAATAAACGGATGAAAATTAACCTGGATAAAAACTAGGTCCCAGAGAGGTGTATAGCTTCCCTTAACAACACTTGGTGTGGTTTCTTTCTGTATTTGCTTGGAGGTTTTGGTTTGGTTTTAATCATAATGATCTGATATGAATACAATCCTCCACAGTGTTTCCTATAGTTAAAACCATTCTCCCACCATTTTCTCCCTCATCCAAATGGATTTATAGTATCTTCTCTCTACATATAGATATTCAAAGATTTTGAAATCATACTGACTATACAGTTTTAACAAATAATAGGATTATTCCTACTTCATTTTGGAAACTAAAATTACACAGGGCAGCTCAATAATTTTTTTTTGTGTTGGACTTAATTGAGCTGTTAAATTTACTCCCTGAAATGAACTAGGACCATTTGTACATTCAGCTACAATGTTAAAGCTTTATGGGTTCCTACTATCTAAACCAGGAAAATAATTGCAACACCTTTTATAAGTTGCCAAATGGCATTGGGAGCTCTGTTCTGAAATGTTTATTACATTCAGTCTGATACATGCCTCTCAAAAGACTTTTTAAACCATAAATCAACACAGTTTTTGTGTTTCAAGTGCAAATAACTAAGTTTGTACACTTTTTTGAGACCACAAATATATATCATAGGAAATAGATTGAGTAAGGGCAACATTTTCTTCCATTTATAAATCCCGTATGATCGGTGTCTTCCTACTTGCTTTGTTCATTCCTTTAAGCAGCAGCGTTCTCTGTTATGTGTCCCTAACAAAGACTGTCAAACCGGGTCACAAAACCCTATGAGGGAGAGATACCAGCCAAGGATGATGGATTATGACACAAAATGTTTCACAGGCAACCACACAATTTTTTTGTGTAGAGCTTGTGTAATAGCAAAACTAATCATATTTCCAGTTTTGTTAGCACTGAAATAAACCCTCTCTTTCTATATGTGTTTCTATATGGCATTTTCCTGGGATTGTTGACAACTAAACTACTTAACTCCAGCTGGCATGTGAATTCACCCTTGAACTGGAACA